CAGGAAGCAGTTTAGCAAATGACCAACGAAATCTACAGTGTAATATTCTGAACATTTACAAGAATAGCAAAACTTAGTATGACCCTTCAATCTATCCTTTTTAAAATAACAATCTTATGGTAAGACTATATATATTAAAGGTAAATGTTTCCCCTTGATGTTAAGTCTAGTCGTGTCTGACTGTGGGGGGTGGTGCTCATCTCTATTTATAAGCCGAAGAGTCAGCGTTGTCCGCATACGCCTCATGTGCCCTCCATGACTGCATGGAGCACCGTTATCTTCCTGCCAAGGCAGTATGTATTGATCTACTCACATTTGAATGTTTTCGAACATCTAAGTTGGCAGAAGCTGGGGCTAACCGCAGGAGCTCACCCCACTACCCGGATGTGAACCACCGACCTTTGGGTCAGCAGCTCAGCACTTTAACCTGCTGCGCCACCAGGGGGCCTATATAACATATTAGCTGACAATAATTTATTGGACTCAAATATCATCTTTCCCAACTTAGGATTGGCTACAGTAATATTCAGATCACTTTTCCAAACTAACTTAAGGCCCACCGTTCTGAGAAAAGTGTAAGATAAAATGTTATAATTTAGAAGCAAAGTAATTTAATACCATTTATAGATGATAAGATCATAGAATCATAGAGTTGGAAGAGATCTCGTGGGCCATCCAGTCCAACCCCCTGCCAAGAAGCAGGACAATCACATTCAAAGCACCCCCAACAGATGGTCATCCAGCCTCTGTTTAAAAGCCTCCATAGAAGGATCCTCCACCACACTTCGGGATAGAGTTCCACTGCTGAACAGCTGTCAGAAAGTTCTTCCTAATGTTCAGGTGGAATCTCCTTTTCTGTAATTTGAAGCCATTGCTCCGTGCCTTAGTCTCCAGGGCAGCAGAAAACAAGCTTGCTCCCTATGACTTCCCCTCACATATTCATACATGGCTATCATGTCTTCTCGGTCTTCTCTTTTGCAGGCTAAACATCCCCAGCTCTTTAAGCCGCTCCTTATAGGGCTTGTTCTCAAGACCCATGATCATTTTAGTCATTGTCCTCTGGACACCTTCCAGCTTGTCAATGTCTCTCTTCAATTGTGGTGCCCAGAATTGGACTCAGATTTCCAGATGTGGTCTAACCAAGACAGAATAAAGGGGTAGCATGACTTCTCTCTCCAGCAAAGGATCACCGCCTTGTCGGGGCGCTGGAGCTTGAGCACCTCAATGATGTCATGAGCGAAACCGTGAAGGGCCACCCAAGACGGGACGGTTGTGGCAGAGAGGTCAGACCAAGCGTGATCCCTGGGGAAGGCAATGGCAAACCACTCCAGTATCCTTGCCAAGAAAACTAAATGGACCAGTACAACCAGAGATATGTCGGTATGTCATTGGAAGATGGGACTCCCAGGTCGGAAGATGGCCAAAATGCTACTGGGGAGGAGCAGAGGATAAGTTCAACTAGCCCCAGATGTGATGACGCAGCTAGCTCAAAGCCGAAAGGAAGGCTAGCGGCCGACGGTACTGGAGGTGAACGACGAATCCGATGCTCCAAAGATCAACACACCATAGGAACCTGGAATGTAAGATCTATGAGCCAGGGCAAATTGGATGTTGTTATTGGTGAGATGTCAAGACTAAAGATAGACATTCTGGGGGTCAGCGAACTGAAATGGACTGGAATGGGCCACTTCACAATCAGATGACCACCAGATCTACTACTGCGGACAAGAGGAACATCGAAGAAATGGAGTAGCCTTCATAATTAATAAGAAATTCGCTAAAGCGTGCTTGGATACAACCCAAAAAATGACAGAATGATCTCAATTCGAGTGCAAGGAAAGCCTTTCAACATTACAGTGATCCAAATATGCCCCAACCACAGCTGCTGAAGAAGCAGAAGTAGATCAGTTCTATGAGGATCTGCAGGACCTACTGGATAATACACCAAAAAGAGACATTATTTTCATTACAGGAGACTGGAATGCCAATGTGGGAAGTCAAATGACAACAGGGATCACAGGCAAGCATGGTCTGGGAGAACAAAATGAAGCGGGACGCAGGCTGATAGAATTTTGCCAGGAAAACTCGCTGTGTATAACGAATACTCTCTTCCAACAACCTAAAAGACGGCTTTATACATGGGACCTCACCAGATGGTCAACACCGAAATCAGATTGACTACATCCTTTGCAGCCAAAGGTGGCGGACATCCATCCAGTCGGTGAAAACAAGACCTGGGGCTGACTGTAGCTCAGATCACGAACTTCTTATTGCTCAATTTAGAATAAAACTAAAGAGATCAAGGAAAATACACAGACCAGTTAGATATGATCTCACTAACATTCCTAGCGAATATACAGTGGAAGTGAAGAACAGATTTGAAGGACTAGATTTAGTAAACAGAGTCCCAGAAGAACTATGGACAGAAGTCCGCGACATTGTTTAGGAGGCGGCAACAAAGTACGTCCCAAAGAAAAAGAAAAACAAGAAGGCAAAATGGTTGTCTGCTGAGACACTGGAAGTAGCCCAAGAAAGGAGGAAAGCAAAAGGAAACAGGGATAAGGGGAGATATGCCCAGTTAAATGCGCAATTCCAGAGGTTAGCCAGAAGAGATAAGGAACTATTTTTAAATAAGCAATGCATGGAAGTGGAAGAAGACAACAGAATTGGAAGGACAAGAGACCTCTTCCAGAAAATTAGAAACATTGGAGGTAAATTTCAGGCAAAAATTGGTATGATAAGAAACAAAGATGGCAGGGACCTAACAGAAGCTGAAGAGATCAAGAGGTGGCGAGACTATACAGAAGATCTGTATAGGAAGGATAATAATATTGAGGATAGTTTTGACGGTGTGGTGAATGAATTAGAACCAGACATCCTGAGGAGTGAGGTTGAATGGGCCTTAAGAAGCATTGCTAACAACAAGGCAGCAGGAGACGACGGGATCCCAACTGAACTGTTTAAAATCTTAAAAGATGATGCTGTCAAGGTGATGCATGCCATTTGCCAGCAAATATGGAAAACACAAGAATGGCCATCAGACTGGAAAAAATCAACTTATATCCCCATACCAAAAAAGGGAAATGCGAAAGACTGCTCAAACTTCCGTACAGTGGCCCTTATTTCTCATGCCAGTAAGGTAATGCTCAAGATCCTGCAAGGAAGACTCCAGCAATACATGGAGCGATAGTTGCCAGATGTTCAAGCTGGTTTTAGAAAAGGCAGAGGAACGAGAGACCAGATTGCCAATATCCGCTGGATAATGGAGAAAGGCAGGGAGTTTCAGAAAAACATCTACTTCTGCTTCATTGACTATTCTAAAGCCTTTGACTGTGTGGATCATAAATTGTGGCAAGTTCTTAGTGGATGGGCATCCCAAGCCACCTTGTCTCTCTCCTGAGGAATCTGTACAAGGACCAAGTAGCAACAGTCAGAACTGACCACGGAACAACAGACTGGTTCAAGATTGGGAAAGGCATACGGCAAGGCTGCATCCTCTCACCCAACCTTTTTAACTTGTATGCAGAACACATCATGCGATGTGCGGGGCTTGATGAATGCAAGGCTGGGGTGAAAATTGCTGGAAGAAACATTAACAACGTTAGATATGCAGATGACACCACTTTGATGGCTGAAAGCGAGGAGGAGCTGAGGAGCCTTCTAATCAAGGTGAAAGAAGAAAGCGCAAAAGCTGGGTTGCAGCTAAACATAAAAAAAACCAAGATTATGGCAACAAGAATGATTGACAACTGGGAAATAGAGGGAGAAAACGTGGAGGCCGTGACAGACTTTGTATTTCTAGGGGCAAAGATTACTGCAGATGCAGACTGTAGCCAGGAAATCAGAAGACGCTTACTTCTTGGGAGGAGAGCAATGTCCAGTCTCGATAAAATAGTGAAGAGTAGAGACATCAGACTGACAACAAAGATCCGCCTGGTCAAAGCCATGGTATTCCCTGTAGTCACCCACGGATGTGAGAGCTGGACCTTAGGGAAGGCTGAGCGAAGGAAGATCGATGCTTTTGAACTGTGGTGTTGGAGGAAAGTGCTGAGAGTGCCTTGGACTGCGAGAAGATCCAACCAGTCCATCCTCCAGGAAATAAAGCCCGACTGCTCACTGGAGGGAAAGATACTAGAGACAAAGTTGAAGTACTTTGGCCACATCATGAGGAGACAGCAAAGCCTAGAGAAGACAATTATGCTGGGGAAAGTGGAAGGAAAAAGGAAGAGGGGCCGACCAAGGGCAAGATGGATGGATGGTATCCTTGAAGTGACTGGATTGATCTTGAAGGAGCTGGGGGTGGTTTTATGACAGGGAGCTCTGGCGTGGGCTGGTCCATGAGGTCACGAAGAGTCGGAGACGACTGAACGAATGAACAACAACAACATGACTTCTCTGCATCTAGACACTAGACTCCTATTTATGCAGGCCAAAATCCCATTGGCTTTTTTAGCTGCAGCGTCACATTGTTGGCTCATATTTAGCTTGTTGTCCACAAGGACTCCAAGATCTTTTTCACATGTACTGCTGTTGAGCCAGGCATCCTCCATTCTGTATCTTTGCATTTCATTTTTTCTGCCTAAGTGGAGTATCTTGCATTTGTCCCTGTTGAACTTCATTTTGATAAGTTTTGGTCAATCATCTCTCTAATCTGTTAAGATCATTTTCAATTCTGCTGCTGTCTTCTGGAGTACTGGCTATCCCTCCCAATTTGGTGTTGTCTACAAACTTGATGATCATGCCTTCTAACCCTTCATCTAAGTCATTAAGCCTTCAAAAACAGTTTTCACATGTTTTGTCCTAAAGGAGTGAAGTACCTATAGAATATGAAACCACATTCTGTTACAATCAATAGGATCCTGTAGCTATTTATTGTTTGCAGGTGATAATTTGAAACAGACCTTAAGTTTGTAAAAGATTACTGATTGCCATGAACAATATTGATCCCACTTGTCAGTCATAAATAACAATTAAGTTAAGAAAGGAATTAGAAGAAAGAATTAGGATTTGGCTTATTTTTTATTCAAGTTACAAAACAGAAGCAGTTGGTAAAGTCCACTCAAGGCAGGGATGGAAAAAACAAGGCTGGTATAAAACTGGGAGCCGCTGTAAGAGCAAAAGCAGTCCATGTAGAGAGGGAAGAGTTAAGACACTCTTGGCGTGGCCTGGCCAGCCATCAGCAAAGGAAAAAATAAGGTGGGGAAAGAGAAAACAGGTTCCTACCCAAAGCTGCAACAAGTGCTGATGCTAAGGGATCTGGCATGGAAACAGAAGCTGCCTACTCCCAGTCGTGCTATGCAACTGACAAGCAGCCTGGATGAGTTCCTCCGTCCTGCAACACAAACACACACTCTTTCTTCGCTTCTTTCACACAGAGGGCAGGGGAAAGGCTGCCTCTACAGAATGCTTAATGGCTCCTCTGCCACAGGACACACCAACCACAGGGGAAGGGGGCACATTCTACTTGATGAATTGGACACACTCAGCCTGGTAGCATGGGAAGAAGATAAAGAGCACAGGGACCCTTGCATTTACAGCCACTGCACTTGCTGACAGCAACCAGCAAGGCTGAAATACCTGCAGCCTTTACTGGCTGCCTGAAATAGCTCTTGGTCCCTGCCTGCTCTGTTGAGCCCTATGGTTGCTGCATTAACCTGTGGCCCTGGCTGCACCAAAGTCCAAAGCCACATGGCTTGCTGGTTCTAAGATGTGGCAACTATACAACAAGCCTCCCTCCCCAGCCCTGCTGAAGTCTGACTGCTAAAAGGAATGTTTTGGTAGCATTCTGGGTCATACTGACTAGGAGGTTGGTGTACGTGGATCAATAGAACACTTGACAGTGGTTCAAATATAGTCACATAGGGAGGAATTGTTCCTACTGCATGGCCACAGGAATATAATCCAGGAAGTCAGTGCCTTCTGACATACCAGGAACAATCCCGTAAGAGGCGAGGATAACATCTATTACTGTCCTCACCCAATCTTCCCAGAGTGATAATTCTAAGCACTGAAGCCACAGTGGCTGACCTCATCAAAACAATGAATTAGGGGATGAAAACATAATTCCCAGTTGTCAAGAGGGAAGCAGTCCTCTTCTGTTTAGAGCTAGATGCAGCTCAAAAGGTACTCCTAAGAGGGTCAAATGACTAGACCAACCTTTATTGAACTTACATGTAAACACTGAACAACAAGGAATCTGAGGAACGCTTCCCAGGCCTGCCACGTTGAACCAAACAGAGATCCTGTTGGAAGCAACAATGCCCAGCTTGGTGCTCAACTGAACAGTGCAACAAAGCCTGCACCCAAAAAGAGGGCTTCTCGGTCCCAACTGTGTTTGCTGGTGTCACGATCCTCAGAGGCATGGTGAAAAGTTGCTATAGAAAGGGCCTGCAGTCCAGGTAGCTTTTCACAGTCCAAGAAGCTGCCCGTGCGTGCCTGACAGGATCTGGAAGAGGTCATTGGTTCCTGGCTGTCTGTAAACCTGAGCTGTTTCCTCCGGGGTTCTGCCACCTCCTTGGCTGTCACTGTGGAGGAAGGGGGATGCCCCTGGGGTCGGTGACCTGGCCTTCCTGCAGGTTCTTGACCAGCTGTGCCAGCCAGCGCTTGGTGGTGGTGTCATCCTTCAGGACCTGGGCAAAGGTGGTGTCTTTCAGCTGGTCAGGAAGGCACTGCCTGAGGGCTTCCCGTGCCCTACATCAAGAGACAAGAAAGAGGGGGGCCAACAAATAAACTCACATAGACAAGAGGGGAGCGAGCCCCCCTCTGGAAACCACTATCCACCATGTCAGAGTCATCCACATGAACCAGTAAGACCTTACTGAAATCCAAAAGTTTAGGGCTAACTGAATATATGCAGACACATTTGTAATTGGAGGGTGTGGTGAGAGAAAAAGAGGCTCTGGGGTGTAGGAAAGGAAAACGGTATTACCAAGATACACTACACTCTATGTTTAAAGAATTGGATCTCACTTGGATGTGGTTCATTCTCTAGATGCCAAAGGAATCAGCTGACCTTAAACCACTGCTGCCTAGTGTGATGGGAAGCACCATTAGATTCTGCTCGATGTTTGCTGCGGAGATGCCCAAGAGACTGATGGAACTCAACCACATCCTGCACAAGTTTATAGTCCTCAACAAGGATAGGCAGAAGTTAGCTGTCAGGGAAATGCCCTTCCCCATTGGCTTCTCTGTCTGCTTGTCTTTTTTTTTTCTCCTCCTATTCCGTGCTTGTTACACCGATACTTCTCAGGGACACGTCTCTTTTTATTCAAAGTTTACTGGCCACATGGCAAGCCTCTGAGTTTTCCATTTTGTTCTTCTCCAGAGAGCATTGAAAGAGACAACACGTCTCCAGAGAGATAGTGAGATGTCTAGATTCTTACTTTCCTGTATAGAAATATTAATTATTCCAATTAAGTAGTAAATTTTAAATCTTGACCCTGCTCTTGTAATTGCTGAAGCTCAGTTGCTCTAATACTACATTCAAGAAGCTTCTGATCTACTAAAAGTGCTGCTAATGCTGTTTTTGCTTTTTTCCATTTTTAAATGCCTTTCCTTTTCTGAAATTACCCAACAAATCAAGTTATGCCTAGTTCCACAGGACACTATCAATTTCCAGCCCCCATCCCTACCAAGAGACCCGTAGAAACTTTTAAGATGTCTACCTTGGATTATCGGAAAGGCGAAGGTAACAACGGACCACATGTTTCAACAGTCTGGCAGAAGGCTCTTTAGAAAGTTGCAGGACCATTTTACCCTAGATTAAAAACATGAACAGAAATTAGTAAAAAGGAGGCATTCTGAGTCAATGTAATGTAGCAGTGTTTGTTCACATTTTCCTCTAATTAAGCCTGCTCTGTCTTCTGAAATGTAATTTCAGTTGTAGACTTTTTTGGTGAAAGAAATGGCATTTTGCCAAAGTTAGTTTTCAAAACACTAGGGATGCTGATTGGACTATAAAAACAGGGTTTTAAAAGATTGCTTCCTAGATATAGCAGTGGCAAAGTAATAAATTGCTTTCCTGTCCTCCATTTATACTTGACTTACTGCAAAAACAAAGGAGATGGATCAACCTAATAATTTCCAAGAGTGCTTTTCTTGTGACAGTGTATGACAGAAAAAGTGACCTAGCAACTGGTGGATTGATTTAGAATCTGGGAGAGTGGGAGCCATTAAGTGTCTTAGGGTATAAGCTCTACTGTCTTCACACAGTGACACACAGCATTATCTTTATCTCCCCAGGGACTGGGAGAAAGAATGACAAGACACAAAGGAATTATTAGTTTGATAGAGCAATCAATCTGCAGCATGACAAATCACTGTACCAAATGCCAAACTGAATAATTTAGAACATGATTCTAAACAGTGACATCACTACCTGAGTTGTTTACAACTGGGATATGAAAAAAAAATGAAGGCAGTGGGTACAAATTGGAGTGAACCCTTCATGTCTGCTGGAATCTTGTTCCAAGACCTCTTGTGAATACCAAAATCTGGGCATGCTTAAGGTCCATGAGATACAATGGCACAGTAAATTGGTGTCCTCAATAAAAATGGTAAAATCAAGATTAGCTTATAGAATTTGTTTAAAAAATATTTTAAAGCTATGGCTCCAGAATTCATTGATAAGGATGGCCGACATCATCCACTTTGAATGCTACAAAGGTTTTATTAGATAACACTTGTGAGTACTGTATAGTGAAAAATTATGTATTCCAAAAGGATAATCTCATTTTAAAGAAAAAAATGTATTCATTGTCTGCTCTACTGCAGTTATATGCTTGATCCAACAAGCAGTGAACATAATACTAAGTCTTGATTGAGAATGAATATCTGAAGGGGCCAGCATTTTTAAACTAAAGGGTGCTTTACCTTGCTGGCAGTAGGAAGTGCTGTCAATGGGAACCTCAAAAAAAGAGGTTGCATGGTACTATACACACACATATGCTAATGTATCTGCATATGCTAATAACTTCCTCGAATTTGGCCCTTCTGTAATGATGTCTGGTTATGCATTCTTATTTCATAATGCTCAAGATTTAAACTTCAATCTTAGTGGCCACTCGAGCACAAGGTTCTGAAAAACAACTGGAATGGCTGGAAGGTAGAGCTTGTCTCCGTAATGGTTCAACCCATAAAACACTGTCAACATAGCCCCAGTCTGTTCTTTAGACACTGGAAAATAACAGGTTAAAAGAAAATGAGTTTTTTAAAACAAAACATTACTGTACTTTTTGCACAGTCCTGTGATCTAGTGGTCTTGCTCTATGTCAGGGCTTCTCAAACTTTTCGACTCCATACTCCTTTTAGCCCAAGAATGTACATGATCCTGGGTATATAGATATATAAAATAGGGGTGTGTGTGTGTGTGTGTGTGTATGTGTGTGTGTATGTATGTATGTGTGTGTATGTATGTATGTATGTATGTATATATATATACACACACACACACACACACACATACACACCTGAAAACTTTGGCAAGGTTTGCTAAACAGAGTGATTTTCCTTTTCATGAAGTACAGCTGAAGCATTTTCTACAGACGCCACTGTAAACACTGCACAACAGATTTGTATCAATATCTAAAACAGCCATTAGGTGGTATTCAGAGAACACTTACTGCTGCAATGTTTTTCAAAAACCCAACATTGAGCTAAGGGGACCTCATTTGGGGTTTGGATCCACAGCTTAAGAAACTCTGTTCCTACCTCAAGGACCTAAACTGCATTCCGCACATGCTGTTCTAAACATAATTTGGTTTCCCCAAGCTATGTTAAGCCACCAAAGAATGCAACCTACCAATATCATTGCAACATGAGAAAATCTCTCATATGTTTGGCAGATGTAAGCCAGTCCCGTATCATCCAATAGGATCTTCTGTAGAATAAAGGTAGCAACCTGTAAAAGACAAGAAACAAAAGTGTTGAATAAGAACTTGGACTGTGTAGGGCTAGAGTTAAATCTAGGAGAGGAAATTATGGAAACAATGAAGTCAAATGCAACCATCACGCTACGCGTACACCACAGTTTGGAATTATGAGGCCAGTGTTGGGAATTATGTAGCCATTCATATGTTGTTGGATGGCAACTACCAATATTCTTCACCACTGGCTAGGAGTATTCACTGTTGCAGTTCAACTAAATTTAAAGAGCTACACGACTGCTACTCTTATGGTATGCTGTCACAAGAGCAGAATTAAAATTGAAATTATCTGCCCTGATTTCACGGATAAATTAAAACTTTTTGAGTAATATTTAAATGATGAGGAATCCAATTAAACTGTTCAGACAATGCTGGCAGGTACTGCCATGAAATGAAATGAGCAACGTAAATAAAGCATGGAAAATGTCTGAAAGTGTTTCTAGCGCTAGTGGGAAAACTATTCAGAAATTCATAAAGCACACAGATAAACTGCAGACTTCTTTAAGTAATACTGTTGCCGTATGTATACAAGAACCCTTAAAATGGGGAAAAATTCATTTAGGATTTGCGCTGCACATAGATGCTGTAGGAAGAATAAGAATAATTTATTGTGAAAGAAATGATACAAAAAGGGAATGCACATTTCCTGCTTTATTTTCAAAGTTTCCTTTTACCGAAAGAAGGCAATGATAATCTGGATCAGATACTTCTGTACTCAGAAACAGCCAAACAATTGTCTGCTGCATGCAGGAACATGATGAACTGGAAAGAGAGAGAAAGCAGCCAAGAAGGTAGAATCACATTATTACACTAAAAGCATTACCGTTTTGGAAAGTTCACTGCCAGACTCCATGATGCGTAAGCACAAAGGGATAATTTCAGTCGTCAGTAAGAAGTTAATTACTTCTTGCTCATCTGTCTTCACCAGAGCACCTTCAGACACAAGCAAAAGCAGAGAACAGTTGTGTATAACTTGGCAAAGAAAAGAAACTGAAGGAACATCCAGAAATGACAGAAAATCAATGAATTACAATTTCATTATGAAATGGATAACCAAACAGTAGTCCAGTTACATCCATGTGCTCACTTTTCTCATTATTAGTCCCAAATAAATGGTCATGTCATTGTCTACACAAATGGAGGCAATAATGACAATGTTCTCAGTGAGTCTACATCTGCATAGAAAAGTCAGAGGAAGAAACTAAAATGAAGCACATGAAGCTAGGGTTAGAAATTCAGTAGCAAACTTCTAATCCTTTCATTCTCTACGCATGAATTCTCCTTCAACTAGTGAACTATCTGAAACATACACACTCATGGATATAGAATGTAAGATATGTAAGATATTTATTTTTGACCATTATTTAACTAATTACACAGGCTTTTCTTAACCTATTACTTTCCCCAAAGTATTGGACTGCATCTTTTTTGCATGCAGGCTGAAATTGATGGGAGTTGTAGTCCAACACAACTGGAAAGCTCCTGTTTGCAAAAAGCTGAGCAACTCTACAAAGATGCTTATCAGTCAGCACTGTATTCGGCTACTTTTAGAGAGATAAATCAATTAACTCCAAACATCTGCATTAAAAGGAATGGTTCGAAGTGAAGAAAGATCATTAAAAGAGCAGAGTGACTTGGCCCAAGGACCAGCAAGATAAAATCCAGTACCAGAAACAAGAACAAAAAAGGCTAACAGCTATTGACACCACCTATCCCTCCAAGGATAGGAAAATGCTGAGCATATTATCTAGGTAGGTCCTATATAAAATATCAAATATGACTACCTGCTGTAATGAGGATGCTTATGTTATACTAGATTAGAGTGGTGTGGCTCACATAAACAGAAATGGGTAGTCTCACTCTGTCAAAACAAGGAAAGTGCTGCCATTCCACCTCTCCTGAGCCCAGGGAGTGTGGAATGGCTATGGGGACATGATGCTGAACACAATGTCCAGCATTCCTGTTTGTTTGTTTTAAAGAACCATGGGTTCAAGTTGGATTAAGTGGTTTATCCCAATTTCAGATGCATTAACTTGTGTGTGTTGAATGGATGGTGTAGGCTACCATTAGAAGAGGTGCTTACCTATTACGCCAAGGCTTGTGAGTCGCAGATACTCAAAGGGACGAGTCTTGCTCACAGTGTGCAAGAAGGGATACAAGAAGAGGGGTATATGAGCAGCAAGGAAGGCTGACCTGGACAAGAGGATAAAAAAGCATAGCAAACAAAAAAATACAAGAGATGCAATCTGATATAGCCTAGAACAAATGTTTAGATTAGTTATTATACTTCCATTACAATACACTGAATGTATCACAGAATACTGCACTGTAGCTAGCATAAAAGGAAGATGCCTAATAGCTAGAAAAAATGCATATAAATTCATGTTCACTTGAATAATTAAAAAAAAACAACTTCTCTTCTTGCCTCAACATCCTCTATCCCTGTATGAAAGTTCTTTCGGCTAGAGCTATTTCAGGGACAGCTGTGAAGGCTACTTCATTTAATAATACATTTGGAGAAGTATGGAATCACAGGTGTAAGTCTTTGGTGCAAACTGGTCTTAATCTTGGCCATGAAAGATCTCTCTTTTGTTGATGGATCTCAATTGTAATCAATAACCGTTGCCTATTCCCTTCCCATATTTTTTTTCTGTATCATTTCATGTCTTATTTAGACCATAGGTTTTGTGACAACTATTACACTGTTTGCTGAATGTGTTTTTAGTTGTGTGATCCTGCAGGGCAGAAGACTGGCACAAAAACCTAGACTTTTCCTTCCAACTCTATGATTCCCTTGTAAAATGGGTCTGGGTATCTTTGGGCTGAAGAGTGGTGCATGTGCAATAAATAAATACAAAAAAGGCAGGAAAATAGAACAAACAAAGATAAACATCCTCCCTCTATAGTGCTATTTAAAATCTAGTTCTGATGCTATCTGTACTGGCAGTAAGATTTAAATAACTGCAAGAAAGACATTCACTGGTCTAATCTTTAGTCCATTATGAACACAAGCATCACTAGAAGTATACATCATTCTTTACTCAAAAACCAATACTGTACACAGAGAACACAAACCTGGTTTCTGGATGCGATGCAACACACTGCAGAAGTGCCAAAGCATTGCAGACTCTGTTGGATTGGTGAGCTGTCAAAGTTGGTGGATTTATAGATGGGTAAATATTTACGATTTCCTACAGAAAAGAGGAAGTAAGACATATTTGTACAAAAACGTTACCATACTTAAGCATTCCAATGCTCGAAAGAGTTGCCAAATATTCCTGCTAATTACTTATACTAAGTAATTCCCTCTCAGATTTTCTCTCCATGTATTAACTACACAGGGACTGTCACAAAGTTAAAAGAATTTAGTAGAGGAACCAAAATATAGAGATGCCTTGCAAGTCGCACCCAATTGGGTTAGCCCATGCTTATTGTTAATACTTCCCAAGTCCTTAAGGTTCCAGTTTTACATGTGGATATTCTAGACTAAGTAAATAATTCTGGTTATTTCTAGAAAAGAGATGTCCCACCTACCTGTAAGAGAGCGGCTATTGTTCCAAAGGAGTGCCATAGCATTGGGGCAAGATCGGGGACAGACTCTCGCTTTTTGCTCAGCTCCAGCAGTGCATTTTCACGGGTTTCAGGGCTAGACAGCTCATTGATCCATTGATATATTTTCTCTCGATCAACCTGAGCAAGTGCCGTTGGCACAGGCTATAAAGAGACAGAAATTATATAAGCAAGGGTCTCTTTTTCTTCTTCTCCCCGTCGAATCACAATGACAAATAGTTAATAGGACTTAACCAAAACAAACAAACAAAAAAGAAAGAAAAACAAAAAATGATATGAGCAAGAAGCAAACAATTCCAAGTAAATATGGATGAGATTTAATTCTCAATTACTTTAATGTTGCTAACTTTAACATCAGTATGCACAGGATTGTATCCTTGAAACAGAGAGAAGATCAAAGCAGATTAACATAGACTTCTGGAAGGGAATTAATTCAGTTGCCAAATGAAAATTCTGCTTGTGCAGTTCTAGTGTATACATATGGGAAGTAAGTCCCCTCGTGGCCTTGAGATTCTCATTTCACATGACAATGTGATATATGCTTATCCTGGGATGCTTTCAGGGCCCTCCTGGGCCAAGATCAAAAGTCACTTTGTCAGAGTTTTGTACATCCTCTTACTTCAATACCTTAGGCACCTCAGAGACTCGGGACATCCAGTTCAAGAAAACCTTTGCTTAGAATCACAGAGTTGGAAAAGACCACAAGAGACATCCAGTCCAAGAACTTTTAGCTGCTTCACTTAAACATTAACAGAACCTTTGTTAATAATGACCAGCCGACATTTTATTTTTTGTTTCTAACGAAGTTGTGAGGTTCACAAACCACTGCTAGATGGAAGAGCATTTGAGGGTTGAGGCAGATAAACCCTAGTGACTCAGACATGAAGCCATCTACCTGCATGCACTTCAGTGACCTACTTCCCAAGATAAACCTCCAGTTGAACTACTACAGATGAATAATACTTTCCAGTAGGGAAATGAGTTCACTGCCTTTTTCACATAAAATCCATTCTTTGTTTTATTTTCAAAGCAGATATACAGCTGATTCAGAAAATAAATCAAACTGAATTTATTTATATTTCTTTCTTACAAATACAGCTGAACTGCAAAGGAATCTCTCTGGTTTTATTTCTTAAGAGTAGCAAAAAGAAAAACTGAATAAACCATAAACTTTGTACAACAGAGAAAACCATTTTATCTCATATAGTTCTCACTACTGTCAAACAAACAAAAGCACTAATTCACAGGAAAAAAAACCTAATAAAATGAAACCAGGATTTGTAATAACAACATCAGAAACTAAAACAATACTTTAAAAAAGTATACAAGTCTCTTCCTATGAAGCAAGGCAGGGAACAACAGATTAAATACAGCAATAAATACACAACACGGTTTAACACATCAATTATTTAACATCGATTAAAAATCGGTTAAAAAGAGAACAACAGTTCCAAATAAAAGCACACTAAACTAAAAAAAACCCCATATGGATAGTTCTGCTGGAAAAGACTGGTTTTCAATGCTATTTTAAATGCAGACAATGTATCCAGCAATTGAAGCTGTTCTGGCATGCCATTCTACAATTTGGGGGCACTGATGAAAATGTCTTGGTTAAGAGATGCCTTGCTTCCCCTCCAACCCTCATACAGCCCACTGCCCCCTCAAGGTATTGATTCAGAAGATTAATTAATGCTATTTTTGAAGGCTTAAAGAAGTGCCATAAATACACAGAGAGAACCCTGCCCTATGTCTCTGATGATTTCTATTAGTGGCTTTATTTGTACGTTACAGCTTTAGGGATCGAATGGCACCTTGTGGGGTGCCACTTAAGAGCTTCTTTCCCGAATATCAGCTGTGCCCAAGTACCACCATCTGGAACCTATGTGAGAGGCATGACGAGGCAAGACTGAAACCACTGAAGCACAGTGCCTCTGTTCCTAAAGCCCGCAGGCATTCCCAAAGGATATCATGGTTGATGATATCGAATGCCACTAAGAGGTCCATAAAACAAACAAAACCATCAACAGGGATACACTCTCTATGCCAGTGCTTGAACATAAATTATTTCAACTTTGTGCCTTGCTCTGAAGCCAGCTTGAAATGTCAGCCAAGACTATCTGAAGTTAGTAGCCCTGTCAATCACCTGCCCAAAGAAGGAAAATTCAATACTGGTCTATAGTTGTTAAAATCCAGAGGGTCCAGGGAAGGCTTTTTAAAGATGGTGTCGTACCACTACTTTGGTTTACAGTAGTATCTTTTGATACTATACTTCAATACTTCTCAGGCTAATGTAATGTGGCAGAGCCAGGTTTCTATTTCTAATGGCTAACAACCAGCATGCTATTTATGCCCATTAGTTATAAGTATTTCTTTCCTGGAAATTAACTGCAGGTTTATAGCCAATGGCTAGTGTACTAGTACCTGTCTCTAGAACTGCACTCTAAAGTGCACTATTGTAAATAGTCTTAACTAAGTCCACTGGATGTACATTTTTTAGAAATTAGATATATGAACATGTTGTCTTGAATATTTATAAATCTATATGAAAATGTTTTATATTTGTTTCATTCTGCTCCCTGAAAAATTGTCCCCCCACATTTTTACAAGCTTTTCTAAGTTTCATATCTCCAGTCAACCCATACAAACACTGCCTAGCTATAAGCATAGCCTATAGTCTTATGATGTCTTGAACAACAGATATTAAAAATCTCTAAATTCGCAACACGCTAATTTCTAAATGTAAGGATAGAAAACTTGTTAGAACCTAAAACAAATCGACAAAGAGTAACAAAGGCAACGTGAAGTATCCAACAGAATGGGGGGGGGGGGTAAAGTATAATATGGCAATAAAGTGAAGTAAATACAAAATAGTAAAGGAAACCTGACTTAAGGTGGACTCCTTAATTCTGGTTTCTGGAGAGGGAACTTTCAACTGTAACCTTTAAGAACAAGGTTCCTGCATCTTTGGCTGTCTTTTCTTACCACTACCACCATATTTTTTAAAGCATCATTTCCATCGCTGGTTATTTCTAAAGGATTTAAAACTTATGAGTGATGCTACTGATGCTTTAGAATTTGCTTTAGGGCACATTTATACTGTAGAATTATACTGGGGCGGCACCAGTACTCTTTGACAGAGGAAGATAAAAGACCTTGTAAAGCTATAACTCCCAGAGTTCCACAGGATTGAAATATGGCAGTTAAAGTGGTGTCAAACTAAATTAACTCTTTCGGGCATGAGCAGACTTCAGCGTTCCAGGTGTTTTGGACTTCAACTCCCACAGGCTGTTAGGAATTATGCGAGTTGAAACCAAAATGTCCGGAGGGCTTGAGTTTGCCCATGCCTGATATACAGGGCCATAGCCAGAAAATTGGGGGTGGTAGGTGGGTGTTGAAACTTTTTAAAGCGAATCATGAAGAGTAGTTCCATAACACAAAATAATTTAAATAGTATGGTTCATTCTATATTTTATATAAACTTAATTAAATCAGTTTTCTATTTTAGTTACAGAGTTTCAAGTCTTAAAATAACTGAAAATGACTATTAATTGGTAATTTATAGCTACAAAAGAATATCACAGTGTCTGTTGGAAACACTTGAAAACTATGTCAATATACTTTGATAGAAAGCAGGCTCCATTGATAAACTTTGGTGGACACTCAAGAGTACAAGTCCAGTCAGTCTTTCTTGCCTCACTGTTTTTCTTATGTATGTTTTCAAACGTTTAAGAGTTGAAAACGAGCTCTATATAGGCGCAGCAATGGGAACCTACTAACTGGAAAAGGGGAGGGTGGAAGCAACGAGTGAAAGGCCTAATTCCCCATTAGGAACCTGCCTCCTACCTCATGCCGAAGCAAAGAACACAGCAATAGCCTGCAGCTCCGCCCCTGTCAACCGTCCCCACCAAGTATGGTCTCCTTCATGAGGGCCTTCAAATCCAACCCGCACTCAATACATTAGGCTTTGCCTGCCAGTTATGGGTGAGCCATCGTGGCTACTGCTGCAAGTTATGAGTGTAAACAAATTGTCAAAATTTGCTTGAAGTAGTGCTTGAAATTCTGGAGGCACTCATTTAGTTTTTGCTTCWCATAGACTTAGCATGGGAATTTGGTTAACCAGTTAAAATTCATCTTTTTTTAACCTGAAATTTTKKKGGGGGGGGGGGTTAACCCCTAACCCTCCCCTCTGGCTACAGTGCTGTTGATATATGCACATTTAAGGTCTTTACAAGCTCAAATGAGCCTCCTTCCATTCTGCAGCACTTGCTCTCACTTAGGAACAGGATTCCAATGCCACATGTTAAGGAAAATATTATTCTGGAATGCTAGAATACACTGCATCGCATGCTTTAACAGGTCATGAGTGCCTTCGACAATACATTTAATTGTGTGCGCGTGTGTATATTATCATATAATAATAATAATAATAATAATAATAATAACAACAACAACAACACTTTATTTGTACCCCGCTACCATCTCCCCAAGGGACTCGGTGCAGCTTACATGAGGCCGAGCATATGATCTTATGCTTAATGTAATGTTTCTATATGTATGTATGTGCAATGTGGCAATGAAATTGCCAAAACCGTATGCCGCTGAGTCCACTTCGGGGTGTGATAGAGCAGGGTAGAAATATAATAATAGTAAATAAATAAATCGAATCCATACTGTAGAATGAATGCATTTTGACGCCCCTGGAACTGTCTTGGCTCCATACTAAGGAATCCTGGGAGCTGTAGTTTGGTGAGGTAGCAGCGCTCTTTGGCAGAGAAGGCTGGAGACCTCGTAAAACTACCACTTTCATGCTTCTATGTTCAACTCCGGGGCCATTTTTTACGCATCAGCCACCATAAACGATGAATCCGCGCATGGGGGGGAAAAACAGGCTCCCGGCCCCGCCTCCTTGCAGGCGCCTTCTTTGCCGCCATGCTGCTGCCGCCGCCGCTTTGGGCCGAAGGTCCTCTCAGGGAAGCGGAAGGGAGCTGCACGAGTAACTAAGGAGGACCCGTCGTTTCTGAAGGAGAGCAATTTGGCGGGAAAACAAGCCTCTGCCGCCCCCTCCCCTCATTCCGCCGGCCAATGAAACCAGACCTTTCTCAGCCCCCCAGCGGGCTTCCTGACCGCCATGCCGAGGAAAACCATGCCCCGCGAACCCGGCCCGGCCTTACCGCGGTCGTGGCCAAGCTGTGCATGGTCGGGAGTCCTTCGCGGGAGCTCAGGAAGCCGCTTCTACCTCAGGCGCCGCCATGATGGATCTGCCGCCGTCGCCACTGCCGCGACCTCTGACCTCTCGGCGGGCATAAGCGTTGGGCCCGAGGAGAGCGAGAAGGCGCATGCGTCGCCAGAACTCGAAACCACGGAGGGAAACAGTGCGCATGCGCAGGAATGGCAGGAGTCGATTTCCAGGCCGTCGGCGTGATGACGTAGGGGCCTCCCTATCCAGTCCTGTCCGCGGCCCCGCCCCCACTCGTGCGTGTTTACGTTGCGTGCTGGCGTCAGGAGGACGGTGGCGCGGCCGATCTGGTTCCCGCCATCTGCCCTTTTCGTGAAGGGAAGCAAGGCCGGCTGGGATCGAGGCGGGCCTGGTGTCCGCGAACGGAGGCAGGGAGGAGGAGGAGGAAGAGGCGGCCTGGAGACGGAGCCAAGCCCGGACGGGTTCGCGGAGAAGGTGAAGGAAAGCCGCCGCCATCATCCTCTGTGGTGGTGGGTTTGTCTGGAGCGTGGCGCACCCTCTGAGGGAACTCTTGCCTCCTCAGTGCCGGGGAGGGCGAAGGGGCAGGCCTGCTCGGTGGCACCGGGCCCTCTCCTCCTTCCCTTCCCTCCTTACCCCTTCCTCACCAAACTACAACTCCCAGGATCCCATAGCATTGAGCCAGGGCGTTTAAAGTGGTGGAAAGAAGTTCCCTTCATCCTTTCTTCCTTCCCTCGCTCACGCCTCCCATAACAGCCTGAGCCTGGTTCCTTTCCTCCCTTCAGCCCTAGCCAGGCCTTGCCTTCCAGTGTGGTTGCTCCACGCCTGGGGTCCATCTTCTATACCATACAATGGGCAAACTTTGACCGGCTGTTAGGAATTGCGGGAGCTCCAAGTCCAAAACACCTGGAGGGCCGACGTTTGCCCATGCCTATATTGTCGAATTACTGCAGTTTGATACCACTTTAACTGCTGGCTTTAGCCTATAAAGACCTAAACAGGTCCGGACCAGCTTACCTATCTGAACATATCTCTCCTTATGAACCTTCTAGGTCACTAAGATCATCTGGGGAGGCCCTGCTCTTGGTCCCGCCTCCCTCACAGATTCATTTGGCGGGGACGAGAGACAGGGCCTTCTAAGTGGTGGCCCCTCGACTGCAGAACACCCTTCCCAGGGATATAAGAGTGCCCCCCTCCCTCCTGACTTTCCGAAGAAAGGTTAAAACCTGGCTTTTTGAGCAGGCTTTTGCTAATCCAGCATAATTATACAAAATCATGGAATGACCTGACGAAGTAACTAAATAACAATTTTAACAAGGAGATGCTCATGATAATGTTTTTATGGCTTTCTATGGTTTTTATACTTTATATTTTATATGAATGTTTTTAACAGTATTTGTATGATTGTTTATTTGTTGAGGCATCAAATGTTGCCAACTATGAACCGCCCTGAGTTGCCTTCGGACTGAGAAGGGCGGTATACAAATATGTTAAATAAATAAGTAATGGCTCAATGTTGTGGGATTTTGGAGTTCTAGTTTGCTGAGGCATGCAGCCTCTTTGGCAGAGAAGTCTAAAGACCTTCCAAAAATCATATCCCCTCGATATTATAGCCCTGAGCCAAGGTGGTTAAAGTGGTGCAAAAGTGCATTTGTTCTACAGTATAAGTCAGCTTTGGGCAAATTTGGCCCCTCAGGGTGTTTTGGACTTCAACTCCCAGGAATTATGGGAGTTGAAGTCCAAAACACCCAGAGGGCCCAAGTTTGCCCATACCTGGTATAGGTGCACCTCTTCTTTCCTTCCTTTGCTCCTCTATTCCATGGCAACTTCGGCCTGGTTTGTGGCATTCCTCATCCCATGCCCTCAGCCTGAGCCATGCTCTTTCTCACTGCTCAGGTTTCCAGGGCTGTTGGTCCAGACCTTGGTTACATCCACACTGCCGAATCAATGTTGTTTGAGACCATTTTACCTACCTTTTACAAGGTCTTTAGCCTTCTCTGCCAAGAGTGCTGGTGCCTCAGCAAATTCCATGATAATATAGCATCGATCCATGGCAATTAAAGTGGTGTCAAACTGTATGAATTCTACAGTGTAGATGCACCCCTTGATTTCCGCTTCCTTTCCTTCCTGCTTATCTCCCATTGTTTGTTTTTGTCTCTGATCCACCAGAGAGACAAGAGAGTGTCTAGGAGTCACCCACTTGTTGGCCTTTCTTTCATCCCTTTAGTCCTAGCCAGGCATGTAAAGCTTTGCCGAGATGAGTGGGGTGAGCTTCTCCCTTGCTTTGACTCCTAGATCCACTCACAGCCATGTTTCTGTAAAAGTGAGTGTTTCCTATCCAGAAAACTGAAATGTAGAAATGAGGCAAGTGAAACTTCTTTGTGGGTTAACCTGTGGAGGCTCCATCTGTTCAATTTATGTTTCATTGGCTCCAAGGTAGATGAGAACACGTTAACAACTTACTAGTTTTCTAAATTGCTTTCAAGTTTCTTCATATCTTGTAGGAATTTGCTGTAAATAGTATTGAGTGTTCTTTACAAATTGTATGAGTTTTTAGTTATAGCGTGGCCAGAGTAGTACAAAAAATTGGTGCACCATAGTCTTAAATAGGCATTGCATTATTTAGTACAGGGGTCCTCAAACTAAGGCCCGGGGGCCGGATGCGGCCCTCCAAGGTCTTTTACCCGGCCCTCGCTCAGGGTCAACTTAAGTCTGAAATGACTTGAAAGCACACAACAACAACAACAATCCTATCTCATCAGCCAAAAGCAGGCTCACACTTCCTATTGAAATACTAATAAGATTATATTTGTTAAAATTGTTCTTCATTTTAATTATTGTATTGTTTTTAAGTGTTTTTGCACCACAAATAAGATATGTGCAGTGTGCATAGGAATTAATTCTTTTTTTTCCAAATTATAATCCGGCCCTCCAACAGTTTGAGGGACTATGACCTGTTTGAAAAGTTTGAGGACCCCTGATTTAGTATAAGGGTTTTCTATGCCACGCACCCATTGCTTGTTATATTGTAGGCAGCAGTTTAATTGGATGTGAATAATTCCACTCAATCATTTATAAATACTGGTAACATTTATAATTACTGGTAGGAGTCCCTGGTGGCGCAATGGGTTAAACCCTTGTGCCAGCAGGACTGAAGACTGACAGGTCGCAGGTTCGAATCCCGGGGGGAGCACGTAAGAGCTCCCTCTGTCATCAAAACATCCGGGTGTCCTCTGGGCAGCTTGAGAAACCAGAAGTGTTTCTCAAGCTGCTCCTGACACACACACACACAAAACAAACCCACTGGTAGCATGAATCTTATGTTATACCAAAGTGAGAGTACTTAGTGGAGGAGTAAATATACTGAGGTTGGTGATACAAATAGCAAAATGTACTCCCATGTTGAATATAGCAACTCTCAAATGCTGATTCTGCTTTCTTTTGGAATATTCTTATGACCGCCAAAGAACAAAAGAATAACTGGTGTTGAGAACTTTATAAACATCCCTCCCAAATCCCCATTCAGTTAAAAAATACAGTTGGTGTAACAGTTAGATCATCTTCTCCAATAATATTCACATAAAATGTGTTACTTTTCACTTTTAGTTTATTAAAAAGGGATAATTGTTCTCTCATGTTGTTTCCGTTCTTATATCTTTCCATGCAAGGGCATCCACACCTCTCTCCATACTTTGAGTACTTAGTAGAAAGTAATCCTGTTAAATGTTGTGGAAGTTATGCTCACTGTTTTTGGCTTGCTTGTGAGAAGCTTTTGCGCAGAATCCCTGCTTTTTATGTCTTGGCACAGTAGTGGATTATACAGTGTCAATGTGAATTGTGGGTCACTTTCCTGATTTGACCATTTGACATTCACTGAAATGGCAACAGAGCTGGGGGAGAAAAAATAGGAATGGACTTCCTCATGGCCTTCATTCTTAGATCCCCTCTGTGACCTTGAAGTCATGTCTTTGCAAAAGTAATACATGTTACCTATCTAAAGTCCCAAATATAGTTCTTACTGGCATACTGTTTCTCCTAAATTATTTCGGTATAGGTTGTATAACCAATGAAGCTGGTTATATTTGCTTTAATGGGTGGGAATTGTGAAGTGTTCCAGATATTGTTAGATTGCAAGGCCCAGCATTTCTCATCGTTTGCTATTCTGACTAGGGCTGCTGGGAGTTATAGCCCAGCGGCATTTGCAGAACCACTTTACTCTCGTCTCGTGCTAAAAATGGACTGTAATGGTACAGTGTGTGAAACACTTATTCCTACAATACTTTTTCCTACTGGAATATGGAGACCCTGACCTCCTACTTTGCTGAATATTTTTAAGTATGGTGGCAACATGTGCTTAATTGCAGTAGAATTATAACAGTCATTTTCGTCAGAATGCTGCACACCTGTAGAGTTAAAAATCCCAAAATAAGAGTAACTAGCATGCATCTAACTACTGAACATAGTGGGGAACAAGGATTCTATTTCAATATAGCTACTGATAAGGGATCAGACTTGGAATTCAACACTGTCTGGAAGGCAAGCTTTCCCATTCAGGTTGTGTACAACTAGCACACTAAAAATAGTTTTTAGTATACTTCTGGTATGTATTCATATTGTACAGTGTAATCCTGTGCACGTCTGCATAGAAGTAAATCTCATTAAATTAAATGAGACTTACTCCGAGATGATTGTGTGTAGAATTGCAACCTTTTCCACTGAACAATAATTATTTCTATCCTCTCATTTTACTTGTGTTTGTATATGCATAAAGACACAGCAATGCCACTTAATGTCTGTAACTACTTGCTAGCAGGTGGAAAAACAACAAGTGTAACAGTATTCCATGTAGTCCCCCCACCTGTCATAAGGCATTTGTTTCTCATGGATAAGGGCTTGAAATTGTTTTCCTACCCTGCAACTGCCTCATTTTTATCCATTTATAGTCCACTCAGGGGTTATAAATTTTAATAAGAAAGTAATAGGTATAATGCTATTAAAACAGAACTTAATTTAAATATAATTAAAAACTTTAAATCAATATTATTGGTTACTTTGAGTGTAGGTATGTTTCACTAGTAATACAAAAATACATTGTATATAGTTGTGCATTGTGGCTATTTTTTGGATGAATGGGCTGATTAGTTTTGTGTGGTTAGAGATGGCTTCTCTGATGCTAGGAAGTCATACTGATTTATGGCCAGGTACAAAGATTGGGATGGGATAGGAAGAATGAATAGGTCCCAGGATTTCTAATTAGGGAACTCGCCATACTTACATAGTTACATTTTGAAGCTATGAATGTTTTTGAGTTCCCTTATGAAAACATTGGCTTCTGTGCAAGTCCCATTAAAGATCAGTTTGGTTAAAATGTGGATGCAGCTTCCAGTATCCCGCACCACTGGTTTTGGGTAGACCTGATGTGAGTGCAGTCCAATAACACACAAAGGACCTTAGTATGCTCTCAATTTCTCTTAAGATTTACGGTGTTTGTCGATGTATATGTATATACAATATGTATATGTATATACAATATGTATATGTATTGATAAATAGCATTGGACATTAGGGCTAGATGATGTAATGGCATGCACCTGGGACTAGGACTCTGGGAGACCAGGACTGAAACCAGTTTTGAAAACCCACTGGGTGACTTTAGGCAAGTTGCATTCTCTCAGCTCTAGAGGAAGGAAATGGCAATCTCCCTTTGAACAAATGTTGTCAAGAAGACTGTGTTCCTCTAAGTCAGTATTTGAAGGCAACAACAACAACAAACAACACATTGAATATTTACTGTCATAGCAGCAGTCTCCCTCTTCTTTTCTTTACCTTTGTTGAGGACTGGTGTGTAAATGGAATGGTTCACCAAAGAGATGGATTCTCGTTGGCTGCTGCTGTGTGATCTGCTTGCGGAGAAACATAGATTATACAAATCCACTGAGCAGATTTTTGAAAACCCTTGTATTGCAGATATTAATTGATACTTAATCATTTATTAAAAATAATCAGTGCAAAATTATTTGATTTCAATTAATCATTTATTGATTATAACCCTGTAACTTTCTCTTTTTTAAAAACAGGGTTTGTGTTTCCAATCAGATTTAATTATTTTCATAAATTATTTACATGAAAACATGACTCTGCTGAAATTATGTGGATCTATTCGCATGCGTAGCATGCAGACTGGGACTACCAAATGGAAAGAAGGGACATTTGAAATAGTGGATAAGGACAGCAAAGTGACTCTGGCGGTTCACTACAATGCTGGAGGAGTTCCAAAGATATTTCAGGTACCTCAGAATTTCAAAGAGAATCTGTTTTGAATCAGCCATTCAGTGTCTCCATGAACTATCTTTTCAAAGTCCATTTGATTGTCACTTGAATTTTTCTCAGAGAGTCATTCTTCTGCTTTCCAGAACACTGGCTCTATTCTATTGTGCTTTGATTTGTTTAGAAGAAATGATGAACATTAGAGAGAAAATAGAACTTCAGTTTGCTCTTGATTGTTATTAAAAATTGTCACTGAAGATTCATAGTTATATCCCTATTTCTTTGTATACTTCGTTCACAATTCATGCTTTCATATGTGTATTTGTGTGGAAGGCTAGGATTTTCAGCATATTTATTTGAGAGTAAATTCTACTGAACATAGTAGAAACTGCTTCTGGGTAAATTTGTTTAGGATTACTATAAATCTGTCTTTCTGCTGGCTCTCGAATCGCTCTCATATTTATTCTAGTCTAGAAAGCTATCTGGAAGTATAATGTTTTCTTTGAGAGGTATTGTTACAGGCTAACAGGTTATCTTGAAGCTTGGAAGTCTTCCGTAAACAAAATTTTTGTTTGTTTAGTCTGTTTTTATTCTAACTGGCATTCTGAATAAATGTACAGCAATTAGGGGAAAAACATGAGTCTATATAGTGGTATTTTTTAAAAATAAAAGCACAGAGTAGGAATTAGGAATTTGAGCTGGAGCTCTGTTATTTGTAATGAAATAGCATAATATTATACTGTGGTTAGGAGCTAATATCTGGACATACATGGAGTTACATGGACACCATAATCCACAACCAGTAAAATTTTGTTACCTTTAGGGTCAAACAATTCTTTAGTGTTTCTCTAAATTATCCATATATACATTATATCCTTTATTTTCTTTCTAGCTAAACCATAGTATTAAAAATGTGGTTGTGCGACCAAGTAAAGGGAAACTGTGTTGGCTGATGATAACACTAAAGGATTCTAGTTTCCTCATGGTGGACAAAATACCATTGAAAGATGCAGAGGAAATGAAGCTGTTTTTGGAGGGGGTTCAAAACAGGACTCATGCAGGTTAGTAGAAGGCATACCTTTCCCAACTTTTGATTGGAGATTAGGTATCCTCAGTACTAGTTTAAGATAAGCAAAATGGGTGCAATTTTTTCTGTTTTCAATAAATAGTTCTACAAGAGATTGGGGGAATTTTGTTGTAGTAAAATACTGAATGTGTATTATGCTAAAGTGGTATTGAACCCGATCATGCCTTTTTTTTTTCAGCTGTGAAGATACCACTGGGATCTGGCAGTTTTGGAGGTGTTCTAGGCAACAGAGGAACACAGAAGGATTCTTACAGGCAGTTCCCATACATAGAAAACCAGGTAGTTTAAATACTTTTCTCTAATTCCATTTTTATTCTCATCTTCTCTGGCTACAATAAACCATTATGGTGCGGCAATTGGGTGGCTATAAACATACAACTTTAGGACACTTGCTGTGTTAAGCCTATTTCACTGGAAGGCAGCACTGTATATATATATTATATATATATATATCTTACGAATTAGGTGAGGGGGTGATGTTTTGTTTTGTTTACCTTTGGATCCAAATTCTTATTCTCTGTAAGGTGCTTTGAGTTGTAGGTAGGCCTTATCACCACCAAGGAAGGAAAGTCTCATTATGTCCGAGTGACAGCTTGCTTTTTACTCCATTTTTTGTTCCTTCTTTTTTTTTTTTTTTAGGAGACAGCCTTCCTTGACTTCAGGCCTCAATTTTCTTCATGTTTTTGAACTATCTCAATCATCTTCTAAGATGATTTGACTTCACTGTTTTTTCCTCTCCTACTGCTTTATTTTTTTGAAAATGTCCTTCCTTTTGCAGTCTATGTCAAATAAGACATGAAAACTAAATTTTAGATATGTGCAAACACAATTTTGTGTGGTGGCTAGGAGCACTCAAAATTGTGTTTGCACATATCTAAAATTTGTCAAACTTATTAAGCTTATCTCCTAAGAATCAGAATTTACCTAAAGAGACTGCAGCCAAACTATACTTCTACCATGCGTTGCTCTGCCAGCCTGGAACTCATACAGATAAAACAGATTTCTGCAGAGTTTCAGTGGGAAGAATGTATCCAAAGGTGAAATGGAGGGTGCTGTGGGCAGTGTGTGGTCACTACAGGGGCGCCCTAAACTGATTTAAAGCTTTTTGTTTTGCTTCACATTGCCCCTTAGGCAAAGTAGGGAACATTTTACTACATTTAGGACCCACCCCCCCCCCCCCCCCCCCCCCCCCCCCCCGGCCACTCAGGGCTCCAGTAACGATATGGGGATCCCCTCCCCAATAACCTTTTTTGCCGCGGAACAACCTCCTCTATTCTCCTCCCCTCATATAAGCCGTAGAGAAGTATTAGTGAAAAAAAATGATTTTGCTCACTTGCTTAAAATAAAGTCCTTCTTTGCAGGAAGGTCCCTAAAACATGGTGGAAATACCCGCCCCCCCAAAGTGTTTTTTGTGTAAAAGTATTTGGATGTATATATTTTTTGCGGAAATAGGCACAGTTGAGAGTGTCCCATCAGGGTTTCCTGTGGGCCAATGTGGCCCCTTGCCTTCAAGAGGTGACTACCCCTGAGGTATTAGGTCCTTCACAGGAAAGGTTTACTGAATTCAATACTGCTGTTGCAGCCACTTGGTAAGCTAACCAGACTTAGCCTTGTACTTTACATTTCTTTTTTTATCTTCAAGGTATTGCCCAATATCATGCATATGTATCTTTCAGTAAGATAGGGGGACTTCTGGCTCCTACCCATTTGGAAAACCACTTCTTAGCACTGGGAGTAGAATGCCCCTTCCCACAAGTCAAGATAAATACATTCAGTTAGACCTTAGACGATTTGTGGTGTAACCATTCACAGGATGCCTCCCATCTCCAAGGAGAAAGAACACTCACGGTGTTCTGTTTCAGACCACTGAAATTATATTGCTTCTGATTCTGTACTACTTGTAGCCTAACATACTAAATAAAGGCTTCAAGGCTCTTCAGGACTCAAGTCTAAATACTTGTCTTGTACCATAACCAGTTGTGGACAGTAAGAGGTTTTCCAGGACACTCTATAAAACATGATTTTGATCTTTGTTTTTGTTCATAAAATAAGAGTGCTGTAAACAAAATCAAAAGAACAGTGGTCTCATGGATGAAAGCAACTTTTAAAAATTATTTTAAGAGTTTGTTCTTTAGACATATAGTTGTTATTCCATTTATTTTCCTGCGGTACACTTTCCAGTGTACAAGTTCATCAGAAGAGACTTCTGATATGCTGTGGTAATCTCTAGCTAGCTACACAAAAGGCGGGGTGGGGGTGGGGGGGGTGATCGATATCTTTAGTAAGTCGGCTGGGATCCTGCTGCAGTAGCTAAAACCTTGCCAACTGTAGATCCGAGATAAAAGTAATAGTTTATACAAGAGAACTATTTGCTGGATTTGTGGCCTATTAGAGCCCTGATCTTGACTTTTGAAATTGGCGTGTGTTATACTTTTGACTTTAGCATTTTCTCTTTCATTTCATAGACTCCTTCCAAAAGAGGAAATGTTGAAAGTAAGTCGCTGAGTTCCCCAGGAAGAACATCAGTTAAGAACACACCAATAACTGGAATGTCTGGCAACAGGGTCAATAGTTCCACTTCTCCAGCTACCTCAACACCTCACAGAACAGGCTTGTTGGAAAATCGGTATGAAAGCAATCTTTTAAAGAATTGCAACCTTCAGCGTGCATGCATTGAACTACCTTTGGCACTGAAAGTTGTATTAATAAACTTTAATTTAAGATTGATATAATTTGTTGTTATGTATGGGTGAAATTTCTGAACAGTTTTTTCCAAATCTTTCACACTGCATCCTACACAATATGGTTTTGAGAATTGGAATTACTTAAATACCACCTGAAAATGTTGTCTTAAACATGAAGAATTTGGACCTTTGGTTTTCCTGTAATTTGAAGGAATCATTTTTTTCTTCTACAGTGAAAGGAGGAAAAGGGCACCAACTACTTCAGAGATGAGTGAAGATTATCCTAAAGAGAATGATTCTTCAACGTATGTTTCTAGTGGTTATGGGTTTTATGTTTGTTTCTTCCCTCCACTTCCAATGTGATGTTTGCATTGAAAATAAGTCATAAATCTATTTTGGCTTAAATCACTAACATGGTGCTTTTGTAAAGACACAACATTAGTGTACAAAATAGTAGTATATATTCTGAATAGTAAAAGATCGTAGGTGCACAAAGCTTGTGTTTCCTTTGGTATACCAATTATTAACGTTCAACCTTAGAGTTGTACTTATGCTGATAAAAAGTTAGGTGACTTTACTTTTGATAGACGTCAACATTAAATCAAATGTGGTTTTTAAAGATATTGGAGCTCTATAGCATTAGTTGATAAGCCGCCTCTCAGTTTTAAACTCAGGAGAAGAAATAGTAATTTTTGAAAACTTTTGAAAGTACAGTTTAACCTGTAGTCATTCCCACTGTGCGGCACATTTCAAAAGTTATTAAAGGGTGGATTGAATTTTAAAAAGTAGATTTCAGGCCGTAATGTGGCCGATAGTGGATTCTGGCAGGTGTATGATTAGGCTTCGAGAGATATCCACCTTAGTATATAGATGTATCTTATTGTGTTTTATTATGTTTAAAATATAAATGTGTTATATCAATTTATCTGCAGCAATAATAAAGCTATGACTGATCCAACACGCAAATTCTTACATAGCTGTAGAGAAAAGCAGCTGAATTTGAAACAGGCTGAAGAGAACAGGGCATCAGGTAATATAAAACATATTTATAGTCTATTCTGACACACTGTCAATCTAGCCAAACTGAACTGAAATATTTTTTGATGTTCTGAAACAGTTGATATTCTGATTTTTTTTAAGTATCTGTGTAATGAGATTAGTTATAATAGCAAAACCCATATATTTAAAGAGCCATTCATACTGAAGAAGTATTTTTCCATTGAAAATGGTTTGATTAAGGGATTAGGAGCTTAGTCTAAATGTAGGTTCCCCCCCCCCCTTACCTATGTTTCCTTATGATGCCACCTTAATCTGTAGTGTTTGCTTCCATCACCATAGAAAATGTAATTAATATTCTGGATTTATCTTATGATTATTGACACGTTCAACAGTAATAGTACTAGCTGAAGTTACAAGTAATCACTCAAATAAATGCCGTCTGGATACTAAAATTAGAACAAGATTTTTTTGCTGAAAACCTGAAAAACAACCTATTCTGTGTTCCCACTTAGAATGTAATGTCTTTTAAGATTTGTCTTGGAGAGAGTGTTTTAAAATATTTTGTATATAATACATTTACATGTGTGTGTATACATGCACACCACCCTTCCTGTATTCCACAAAGCTGCTTATTTGTTATCTCTGCAACTCACACAGATGTGTATATTGTGCCTCTGCAGTGCATCATTCTGAAAGTTCTAGTGTTGTTATGTAAGCATTTTCACAGTAGCCCCTCCTTCCCTCATCCATGTGACTAGACTGATTCCTGCTCAAACGTCAGTTCCTTTTTATCTCCCACAACCCCAAGGGAATTTTTGGAGAGCAGTTCTTCTTAGCTCCCTTTGGACTGCATTTTGGTTTCTTTGGACTTTGACTTGACTTTGTTCTATACTCCAATTCAGCTTTACTCAGACTATTCAATTGATTTTGCCTTGTCTTAATGGTTTGGTTTTAGTGGCCTATCATGTCTTCATCTTTTTTAAGATGTGCACCTCCTGCTGTGCAAAGATACTCCAGTGTCAGTTGTGCCTCAGAGAAGGCCATAAAAGTGGGGACTCCACAAGTGTATGAAAGCCACTTACCCAGTCTTAAGACTTTTCTCTATGAGCAGGTTGTATCTGCTTTGGGCAAGCTCACTGTTAAGAGTTGCAGATTGCTACCACATTAATCTTCTCAGCACCTCCTGCTTCTGGTTCTTCTGCCCATTCAGTGGTAAAGAGATCTCCAAGAGATTTGAAATCATGCAGAGAAGTCAAAGAATGACTTAATTATTCAGCTTCCCATCCTTGATTAATTATTCAGCTTCCCATTCCCATCCTAAGACTTTTTCAGTGTTAGTCCAAGTAGTCAAGGTGCAGCTGTAGCCCCATGTTGCTTCCTAAACATTAGGAAGAACTTCCTAATGGTAAGAACTGTTTGGCAGTGGAATGTGCTGCCTCAGTCTCCTTCCCTGGAGGTTTTCTAGCAGAGGCTGGATGGCCATCTTTTTTTGGGTTCTTTGATTCTATGTTCCTGGACTGGAGCTGGATTGCATGGGTGTTGTGGTCTCTTCCCACTCTATGATTCTACGATTCCACACCTAAGTTGGTCTCTGGATCTGGAAGTCCTTGTCTATACCACTAAGCATACTTCCAAGAGGTGATATAAGGGAAAAAAAACCTTGGTCCAAGTCACTATCTTCTCTGTTCCATGTTTTGGGTTAGACTGTTCATCTTGTTTCTATCAAATAAGTACCAGAGAGGCTTTGGTACCAGTTTCTGTGGATTTGACATGTTCCTTACCATGTCCAGAACAGGCTTGATGTCACATGATAAGTGACCTCAAGAAGTTCAGGCAGCTATAGCTTCTGAAGATGAAATAATGAAATCTCTTTCTATGGTTCCTTGTTGGGCTCCCACTCCAGTTCCATTGGTTCATGAAGCCCAGTCTTCTGCATTGCCACTTGCTGAGAAGGACTGAAATACAATTTTGTCTGAGAGTCTTTGGTCTCCTTTTTATTTGTCATCTGCCTCTGTGAAAGGTGTGCCATTAGAGGAAATTTGTAGAGCAGCTACAAGATTACAACATTTGACCTTCACCCATAATACTCTAGACCTGATATCCAGGGCTTGGTGCCACTTTTGGGGTAGTCATGTTTTCTTGTGTCATGACACTCCCATCTCCTGTGGTTAGTAGATTGCTAGTCTCTCATTTGTATGAGTCACAGGGATTATAAAGAAGGAGGATGGGTTATTCTTCAACGAATCAACTGTGGACTCACACAACACCCCTGCTCCCCACATCATGATGTGCTCTCTCTAGCTTCTTGGGTGCTTCCACAGCAGCCAGAGAAGACAGGGTATACGTGGGAATCTTGATGGTCAATGCACCAAGGGATAAGAGGTTACCACCAAAACACTTACATAATAGTGCTAGCATTTCCAAATAATGTAGTGCACAGAAATCCATTTGTGTGAGTTCACAGAAGGTCACTCAAGGAACTGTGGTTAGCAATATGCAGCCCATCCTCGTTTGAGTAAATGAGATCTTTATTGGCATAAATGAGAAGGTGCAACATTTCTTGCAGTAAAAGTCAATGTGAATTCATAGATTTCAGAAAATAAAGAGAATTCAAGAAAGTAAATATATTCAGGATTGAAATAATCCTGTGAAATATCTGTACAAAAGTTATTGAAGTGCAGCACTTTAATATGTTGGACCAGAGTTCATATTCAGTCTTAGCTATCTTAGTGAGTTTTAAGGAATTCTGAACGTTGCAGACCAACAACATCTCGAAGGCCACATTTATTCTGGAGAGATGTGATAGACAATTTGAAGTGTTGAGTATTAATTCTATACAATTAACCTAAAAAAGTAATCTTTAAAAGTTTATTTTTGTTCCTTTTTAAGGGCTTTTGCCTTTACAGTCATCTTCATTCTATGGTAGCAGATCTTCTTCAAAGGATTATTCAGCTGGCAATTCCAATTTGGACAGGTAGGCGCAGAATGCAGGAGAAGGGTTGTTTTTCCCTTGCTTGCTTAATCCTTAAAACACTGTATTCATCTAATATTAAATTTCTACTTATTGCTACTTATATTCTTATTTATCAAAATAGTGTATATGAGGGCTGTTTTATTCCATAGCATTGGAATAATGAGCACATTTCAGTTTATCATATATAAAATTGCTGATAGATGCACACTTATTGCTGAGTCACTACACTTAGATGACTTTTTAACACTGTGCAACAAACCATATAAAATATATGCAGTGACATTATTTGAAAATAAGTGGAATAAACATAAACTGTTGTTCATTCTTTATGAAACTTTGTCATAAGTGCCCATGAAAATAAAACAATTCTTTACATGGAGCCTTTTTCATTTTTAACTTGCTCTTTTTTCATCTTAAAGATGATGGCTTGTGTGATACAGTGTTCACTATTTCTTTGTCACTACTACCAGAGATTGCCTTTGTCATATTTGAAGAAATGCATTATTTTCCTTTCTTGCCTTAACAGATCTAATGTCTTGAATCAGACTCCTTCCGCCAAAAGAAGCTTAGGGTTTCTCTCCCAGCCAGCTCCCCTTTCTGTTAAAAAAATGAGATCTAATCAAGATTACATGGGATGGAACAAGTCACGTGTTCCCCTTTCCACTCACCCACAACAACAGTTGCAAGGGTAAGATTTTTACAGCCATGTATGCGTACATGTGCTTAGTTAATGCACTACAAACAACTCAAAGAAGTCTTAGTAACTTTTCAGGTGTTCTCTTGCTCTGTCTCCATTGGGTCATTTTGACCCTTTTTTCTATATGTCTGTATATGTTTAATTTCAGTTTATAATCCCTCTCAGCATGGGGTGTCAATTACATATTTAGCATAACACTGTGTTCCTTTACATCTGGAATATAATATTGCTCTGGGAAATTATTAAAACAATGGGTTGGAATGTTTCTTTTTTTGTGCTCATGCACCAATTTCCTCAAGATCCAGATTTTTTTTTCTTTTTAATCTCCTGGTCTGAAAATTAAACTTTTGTAGTAATTTTCATGTTCATGATTGTCAGGAAATGTTTTGAGGGGAAAATCTTTGTTATCAGGGACCTACATGTGGAAAATGTGTTTTAGCTTGCAAATTAAATTTCTTCTTCATGGTCTCTGTGAATCACACAGTTGGGTTTGATTATGCCTACGCAGGCTCAATGGAAACTTTAGATCCTTAGTTCAAATTTTGGCAGTAACCCCACCCACTCCTCCCAGGTCATAAAAGGGTGCACTGGCCTGCAGCTCCCCAGTTCCTTTTCATTAGCTGCAGCAGCAGTTCTTCAGGAATTTTGTACTACCTTTCACGCTTAATGCGCTATTTTTCTTCATGTTGGCCATGTGCTACAAGAGATGCTCTCAGTGTGCCGGAAAGATGCCCGACACTGATGGGCATGCCAAATGTCTCCATTACCTGATTCTGTGGAACAAGAAGGGTAGCCTTTTCACAGCTTTCTTTTGAGAGCAGAGCTCCTTCTTTGTTCATAGAGATGGACAGGCAGACAGACAGAGCTGCAGGGTCCTATATCTTCTGGAATTATCTCCCTGAAATCACAGAACTGGGGATGATAGATTGTATGCTTTATTAAAGACAGATATTTTTAAGATTTTTTTTGCGCAAACTAATTACCAACTTCCAAAGCAGCCTCTTACATTTCATTTCATAAGGACCGAGTATACACATAATAAATCAACATGACAAATCACGTGTGTTACAAATGTTTCAGTTGCTATAATACTATCTTGTTCTTCACAGATTTGCAAACTTGGGAAATACCTGTTACATGAATGCGATTTTACAATCTCTGTTTTCAATTCAGTCATTGGCTAATGATCTTTTGAAGCAAAATATCCCATGGAAGAAAGTTCCATGTAATGCACTCATCAGGTGAGCACAGCTTTGTGAATAAAGTAAAAACACTGTCCCAGTTGTAGTCTTAGAAGAAGCATCTATTTTTGATATAATGTTTAGAGTCTCAAGTTGATTCTGGTGTGAGACAATTGGCCGTCTGCAAAGGACGTTAGCCAGGGGATGCCCAGATGTTTTGATCATCCTTATGGGAGGCTTCTCTCATATCCCCGTAATGGGGAACTGGAGCTGATAGTGGGAGCTCATCCATGTTCTCTTCAGATTTGAACCTGTAACCTGTCAGTCCTGCTGGCTCAAGGGTTTAAGCAGTCTCTAGATGACAGCTGAATATTATCTGAATCAACAATTTTAAGAAAGAGAACTGTATATACTTATGTATAAGTCCAGGGCTGATTTTGAGTCAAAAAGCGTGTATTTTGATACGATTTGTGAATAAGTCAAGGGTCATTCTGTGGAAAGAAAAAAGTGGCAATGCCACCTCAAGGGTGCCAGCCACTTCTTGCCGCTGACCACATTTTCCCAGTCAGGCATTCAACATAGCCAGACACAATGCCACTATCGTCCTTCTAGGACAGACTAAGCTCTTAATAATAATAAAATAAATAATAATAATAAGTACTTTATTTATAGACCACCCTCTCTCCCCAAGGGGACTCAGAGTGGAGATGGTTTTTATTTTGATAGTAGTAGTTAAGATACCACACTAATATTGACCCATGGTCAGTATTTTACTAAAAAGCATAGTATAAATTCTTAATATATGTAAAATAATGGCTGGAAGTGCTTTTCCTCCTAATTTTATTTTCCTTCTGAAAATGAAAGCAAACTCTTTTGTAAATGAATGAGCAGAGGGATAGGTCAAATCGCATACAATTGGAGATATTTTTAGCACTAAATAATTTTAACTTTATTTTTTATATATTTCAATGTTACTCTATTGGTTTTTCTAGACGTTTTAGCGTCTTGCTTGCTAAAAAAGATGTCTGTAGCTTTGAGGCAAAGAAAGAGCTCCTTAAGAAGGTGAAAAACGCAATTTCAGCTACTGCAGAAAGATTCTCTGGATATATGCAAAACGTAAGTATCATACCTTCAAGCTGGCGCCCTCCTAAACAGAAATGTGTTTTAGTAAGTTCAGTGTCCAACTATAGTCGTGCATATGCAGAAACAGTTCAATTAAAGAGATTAAACTGTAAGTGGTATGCATTGCCGAAGTTAATGTCTTTGAAGAGAGCAAGGGTTGTAAATCTATATTGGGGGTTTCCCAAGGTAGGGGATGGAAGTTTTCAGGAAACAATGAAAAAATGGCTTTATTCTCTAAATCTTCTTTTACAGCCTTCCTGAAAAGAAAGGTTTCAGCTTTCTGCCAGAAGAACAACAGGGAGGACATAATATGTATTACACATCATTTGGTTTAGAATTTTAAATAGTTTAAAAGTTTGGTTATTCAGACAAAATTGCATAAGAATTATCTTATTATCTGTAATGTCAAGCGAAAGACTGAGAATTGCAATATTCGGTCGCTGTACATAATCTTACATAAGAGCCGTCCTGTTACCATAGTACTCAGAAATAATTTATGAGGAGTAAATACACTTAAACATTTTCTTTATCATTTTAAAAGAAATTAAAAGTCTTAACTTTTTTATGGGAAAAAAAGATTTTTTTCTTGATTTTTTTCAAAATTTTCTAAGAAGGCTTATATCTGAAATTAAATCCAGACAAGACAGAGGTACTCCTGGTCAGTCGCAAGGCCGAACAGGGTATAGGGTTACAGCCTGTGTTGGACGGGGTCGCACTCCCCTTGAAGGCGCAGGTTCGCAGCTTGGGTGTGACCTGGATCCCCAGGTTTCAGGGGTGACCAGGGGAGCATTTGCACAGCTTCGGCTCGTGCGCCAGCTGCGCCCGTATCTTGGGAAGTCTGACTTGGCCACGGTGGTACACGCTCTGGTCACATCCCGCCTTGACTACTGCAACGCTCTCTACGTGGGGCTGCCCTTGAAGACGGCCCGGAAGCTTCAGCTAGTCCAGCGCGCGGCAGCCATGTTACTAACGGGAGCGGGACGCAGGGAGCACACAACGCCCTTGTTGTCCCAGCTCCACTGGCTGCCGATTTGCTACCGGGCCCAATTCAAGGTGCTGGTGTTATCCTACAAAGCCCTAAACGGTTCCGGCCCAAAATACCTTTCGGACCGCATCTCGGCCTATGAGCCCACGAGGGCCTTGAGATCATCTGGGGAGGCCCTTCTCTCGATCCCGCCCGCCTCACAGGCACGTCTGGCGGGGACGAGAGAGAGGGCCTTCTCAGTGGTGGCCCCCCGGCTGTGGAACGCCCTCCCTGTTAACATCAGACAGGCGCCCTCCCTGATGGCTTTTCGTAAGAGCCTAAAGACCTGGCTATTCGAGAAGGCATTTAATTGAGCCACACGAATCTGGTAATGACATTTGGAACGGACTATGGATTATGAGATTGGCTATGATTCCTTGTTGTGATGGCGCGGATTTATTAGTGTGATTAGATTAATGTGTAATTTGATTGTTGATATATTGTATGTTTTGTAGACTGTTTTTTTACATGTTGTACACCGCCGCGAGTCGCCCCAGGGCTGAGAGCGGCGGTCAACAAATGAAGTAAATAAATAAATAAATAAATAAATATCACTAGCAGGTGTTCTGTACATTTACTTTCCTATTTACTACTTCTTGAACTATATTTTGTTGCATGTGTGTATGTGTGGCATGCATATGCAATTCTTATAGAAGATAAACGAAGTATTTGTTTGCTGATCATAGGAGATAATATAAAATGTGATATCCTACAAAGTGAATATATCTTTTTAATTACCATAAATAAAGCAATCTCGCAAGAAAATGATAATTTGGGTTTTATTCCGTCTCTTAATCTTTAACGTTTTATCATTTCAGCTATTTTTAATTAAATCAGGAAACTGAGTTCCAATTCATGTTTTGTGTGCAGGAACCAGATTTAAGCAATAGTTCTTCCTTTTTATAAAGAGAATATATGTAAATGTCCACAGGATGTTAAAAATTCTGTTCCCTACGGAATGTCCTTATGATTTTAGGATGCCCATGAATTCTTAAGCCAATGCTTAGATCAATTGAAGGAGGACATGGAGAAGCTGAACAAAACTTGGAAGAGTGAGCCAGGTTCTGGTGAAGACAGCTCTGTAGGACGTGTATCTGATGACTTATCAGCTACCCGAGTTTATACTTGTCCAATTATTACAAATTTAGAGTTTGAAGTTCAGCACTCTATCATATGTAAAATGTAAGTATTTGATCACCTTGTTTGTGTCTTATTCTTCTGTCTATATCTTCTTCTTAAGAGCAAACAAGCTTTTCTAGTAGTTCACACAGTAGGGGGTATGATGCAGATAAACATGATGTGAGTGGATTAATAACATATTTGCTATACATGTTCCACTAGTTGAGATGTAATGACTCAAGCATTATTGTGATGGATTTTGGCCAAATATCAATGATCTCAGGCAGTTGTAGTAGTAGTAGTAGTAGTAGTAGTAGTAGTAATAATAATAATAATAATAATAATAATAATAATAATCTTCATTTATATTCCGCCCTATTTCCCCAGGGGGAAACATACAAAAAGGCAAACATTCAATTCCTCTGTAAAACAAACAAATACCAACATAATAATCCCAAATAAGCCCACATATGAGTACAACATTAGAAACTAACATAAATAAATTAAACAAAACATAAACAAAAATTATATAATGACATAAAATCTGAACATAAAACATCCACAATTAATTTGCAGGGGCCAACTAAGGTTCACAAAGTTGATTGTGTGGCCAGAGATGGTAGCTGGGCTAACATAGAATGACAGGGTCCAAATACAGTAATAATTCTCACACCAGAGGTCAGATAGTGGTCTCTCATAATCTAGTCTTCCACCTCCGTATGCTGGTGAGCAGAAATGAGTCTTTGGTTGTTTTTTGAAAGGGAGAAGGGAGGGGGCCATCTTTATTTCTTTAGGGAGGGAGTTCCAGAGGTGTTGGCGATCATGGAGAAAGCCCTCTCCCTCATTCCCATCAGCTGTACTTGAGATGGGGGTGGGACCAAGAGCAGGGCCTCCTCTGCTAACTGCAGTACCTGAGCTGGTTTGTAAGAGGAGATGGGACTGGTCAAATAGCATACAGTTAGAGATGACTAAATACTCCCAAGACAAATTAGAGATTCCATGAAAAAGCTGTAAATTTGAAGAGGTCTTATTTTAAGAACTTTGAATGCTATTCTATGTAGAATCTACTGTCTTACCAACATTACAAGAGAGTCATTCATCTCACAACATTTAATCCAGTAAATACTTCAATTAATGTAAGACAAGGCACTTTTCATTACTTTAAAAAAATCAGTCAGTTTGGGGGATTCCCCAAAATACCATGGGGCTTCAAGAGAAAAAACAAATCATCAACAAATACAGCTTCTCCACTTAGTAGTTTGAGCATCTTTTGAATCAAAATCTGTTCCCCAGATGAAATGGCACAATTGGATACTATTTTTAAATAATTTTAATAACAATGTGTTATTAATACCATCAGAACATTTGGTTTTGCTAAATTAATGTTTACGATTCTTATTCATGAAATAAGAATTCTTTGTTGGCTGCTGGAATATTACATCTTATGTAACTCATTGATGGTCTGAATAAAATAAACTAACACAAAAACCTTTTCTTTCCATCTAGGTGTGGTGAAACAGTCACAAAACGGGAACAGTTTAATGATCTTTCCATTGACTTGCCACGAAGGAAAAAACTTCTTCCATCTCGATCCATCCAAGATTCCTTGGATCTCTTTTTCAGGGTATACAATGAAGCTAGTTACTATTTATTGTATCTTGTTTTCTTTCTTTTTTATTAAGTTTCTAAACGCTGTTCATACTTCAGGCTTTTTTTTTAAAATCTAGCTGTCTGTTGTGCAATATAAAATGTATTAAAAATCTAAATATATTAATATGTAAGATATCAATAAGTACAAAATACATCTAAAATGTATTTATTTATTTGTTTGCAAATAACCTGTAGTTTACGCATTGATAAACCAAATCTAAAATCTATTTTGACAAAATCCCAAATTACCTTTTACTTACACTGGAACATCTGTTCCACCGTAACCCTTTTTCAAAATCCACTCCTGGTTCATCTCAAAATAACTTCGATTAAGCAGGTATGTCCCCATGTCTGTAAATTCATGGCCAGGATCCAGCAGGGCCCTTCTCTGAGGCCTATTCAGGCAATGTGTTCACAAAAGATTTCTTCCTCCTTTATTTCATGGCTTATCTTTAACAGTGCTAGTCTACGTCTGATTTATGGTTCATGCAGATACATTTGTATGTATTCCTAACCTGCCCCTGAAATTACAGCACTCATTCCTATACCTTTCTTCCAGCTGATTAAAATTATAATTAACGGGTTCCTTCTTCTTACCTTATGAAATTCTGTCTTACTGTGTCTTACTTAAGTACCAAAATAATTTTTCCTTCTCCCTGTTCCAAATATTTCAGTGACTCTCACTGTTTAATCCCTTCATAATATTCCACTTTAATTTGTTATCTGAGCCCAATTAACGCAAATCCTATCACAAATCTCTTTTAACAGAAATTAAAGTAGTAGTTTTTTCTGCACAAGTTTTTGTAGCTGGCTTTTGGAGATTTGGAAATCAGTGTAATCAGGTGAAGTGGTATCCCTTGTTTCACAAGTCTCAGAAATAAAATCTACTCTAGCTGCATGGAATTCCTGTTTAAAAGCAGTGTTCTGTTCTGTATGATTATGGAGGAAGGTTTTGTTAGTGAATTGGGATGTAACCCATTGTATTCTTCTTTGTGAGATGTGTCTTGGATCTATTACTAAGAAATGCTGTCCAGTTTTAAGGGAAGCTTTGGTAGAAGAGGATCCATTTGGATTTTAATTCTGTTTGTATTGTGTCTTTAAGGCAGAGGAAATAGAATATTCCTGTGAAAAGTGCAATGGAAAATCCGCTCTTGTTACACACAAATTCAGTCGGTTACCTAGGTAGGTATGTGATTTCAGATTGGGGGAAAAATGACTGTATTAATAACATTCATGGAGGAGATGACAGAGAAGAACTGCAAGGTGTACAGTTTTATCAGTATTGGCCTAGAATTAGTGGCTTTAATTTAGCTTCAAACACGGGACAGGCAAAAATAATTCATTGATAGCAAGTAGGACTTTAGTGAATGGCCTTATGAATATTTTCTCTATTCATCTGAAGAAGTGTATGGCAGCAAAATACTTCAAAAATTACAAAAAAAAATCTCTCAAAAAGATGACATATTAAGGATACTAGATGGTCTGGATTGAATCTAGAATAATTGAATATGGCAAGCCTTTTTCTGCCCAGAAGTGGCTTCCCGTCCATTGAAGGAACCACATTGATAGTCTGGATGTCTATAATTTTGACTGTCAGTTTTGTATCCCACTCTCCAGTATTGGAGATCTCTGAGTAAAAGTGGTAGAAGGATCACTGAGAGCTTCAGAGGGAGAAAGGAATAAACAAGCATCAACTCCTCACTCTCATATCCCTCTCTTTTCTGATCAAAAACAACCTGGATTCATCCCTGAGTAGTTGCTGGTTAAGGATTTGTGGCCTTTCTAATCCACATACATTCATTAGATATCTGTTGGAGCAGGTGAAGGGAATAAGGTGTCTTGTGTGTTTGGAGATAGTGTACCTAATGCAGGAGAAAATGCACCTCTCTATACTGAGGGAAAAGAATTTACCAAGTTTCCAATTTTCTTGTGTTTTACAGGGTATTAATTCTTCACCTGAAACGATACAGCTACAATGTGGCACTCTCTCTCAACCACAAAGTTGGACAGCAAGTGGTCATACCAAGGTTTTTAACCCTTCAGTCACACTGTACAGAAAGCACAAGGCCTCCACTTAATCTGGGATGGAGTGCGCAATCAACAATGTAAGACATTCCCTTTATTACAGTAGTAATGTTGGAGAAGAAAAGTAATGTATTATTAAAAGTTAGGATCCCACGTTTACCTATAAAGAAGAACTCCTGGTCTGGTCACCCATTCTGAAAGTTAAATGCCCATTTATAATCACATGTCTATAATTATCTTGATGGGTAATTTTATTTTTGAAAATAGTCATAGCCATTTCCCTTTCATTTATTTCATTTGGTGTCATCACCTTTGCAAATAGGTAGTCAGGACTGGGATCCATCAGGCCATATGATAACTGGGAGGCATAGTTATGGAAAAAACATGGGAAATAAAGTGACTTAAATGCCTTACATATAATTGGTAAGAGCAGTTAACTCTAAGTCCTTCTATTGTAATTATTTTGGTACAAATTAGCATTTTAGATCACCATTATGTAGAGTAAATATTTAAGTTATCTAAGAGTTAACATTTAATTTTTTAAATCAGCTCTCGGCCATTGAAAGTGTCTCAGATGGTGAATTCCTGCTCTGTTAGCCCTTCCACTCCCAGTCGGTAAGTCTGGATTTTACATACTTTGGAATGCCTGAAAGCAACCTAGAGTGAATGTCTGTTAAAATAGCTTTGGCTCTGTTTATTAAACTTGCCTTATTTTACTTGCCCTCTAAAAGATTTTGGGTTTTTAGTAACTGTTACTTCAAACTATTATTTCACATTTTGAAATAATAAACAACAAACTTTTAAACGTTGATAACTATATTTTATGATAAATGTCTTAAGAAGGAAAAGCAATATTTGGGATGAAAATTCCATTTGAAGAATTCAGATTACTGAATGGAGTTACAGCTTTAATTCTACACAAGAATTCTCTATATGGTCTTATATATACAGGATTTTGGATGATTAAAGACCCATATGAGAGCTACACTATAACTGCAGTATCCACGTGGTTTTGTTTTTGATCTTTACGTGGATATGCGAACTGCAAATAATAGCAATCCATAATGAAATGAGGGAGCCCTCAGTGGCGCAGTGGGTTAAATGGCTGAGCTGTTGAACTTCCTGGCCAAAAGGTTGGCGGTTCAAATCCGGAGAGCAGGGTGAGCTCCCGCTGTTAGCCCCAGCTTTTTGCAGACCTAGCAGTTCGAAAACATGCAAATGCGAGTAGATAAATAGGTACTCCTTCTGTGGAAGGTAACGGCGCTCCATGCAGTCATGTCGGCCACATAACCTTGGAGGTGCCTATGGACAACGCCAGCTCTTTGGCTTAGAAATGGAGATGAGCACCACCACCCACAGAGTCTGACACAACTAGCCTTAATGTCAAGGGGAAATCTTTACTTTTACTTACTGAAATGAAGGACTTCAAAAAATTCCATATGGTTGTATGGAAAGACCTAGAAAATGCCTAGAGAAGGCATATTTTGTCAGATGTTGACAAACGAAACCGTGGATACTGTGCCTGTCGATAAGATTGTACTGTACATGAATGAATTTTACCTATTGCTGTATCATTTCAAAGCTAGTATATGAGCTGGAATGAAGCCACATAGCTGAACCCAAATTTATAATGGTTTATCCCTGTGCAAGAGTCATAGGAATATTCATGTTTATATTCTTAAGATTAAGAATGCATTTGATTAATTTTCCTAAGGTTGAAATTTAGTAGACTATACAATTTCCCCTAAACAAATTGATTTATTTGTACATTTATAAAATTCTTTGTATTAAAATTGGAGGAGTGGGTGGGTTGCAGCTCATCTGCAGATAGCATATGTGTCCTTTCAAGTCTGATATTTATTTGGACCAAACATCTATGTTTTGTTTTTCAGAAAATACACATTCAAATTTAAAGGCCCTGTTGTAAACACTATGGATTCAGACAGTGAAGAGGAGCCATTGAAACGCCCTGTTACAAACAGTCCCAAACAGTGTGATAAGGAACAGCAGCGAGATGATCTAGAGAAGGTAAGGAGAGTGGTTTAGTGGAAGAAAGCCTATGAGGCGCATTGCCCCAATATCTACTCCTGCAGAGCTGGTAATTGGAAGACACAGCCACTTAAGAGTCCTTTAAGTTCAGCATCGAAACAGCCACAGCCCTTGTCAGCAAGGAACACTGCTGCTGAAAGAAGTGTGATCATTAAACAAAGGATTGCCAGTTTGTTGGTCATTGCTGGACCTTTTTGTGCCTTTTTAAACTTCCAAAACTGACTTTTTTATTTTTTTAAGAATATTTTTATTGATTTTATTTTACACACATCTATATATAAAAACATGAAACGGATACAAAAGGCTTACACGGGATAATTGTGGTGGGGAAGGGGGTTAGGCAGTGGAAGTGGGATCAGATCACGAGAAGACAAGAGGTGGGGAAGGCGGGGGAGAGTGAATCAGGGGTGGTACTTCCAGGTTTGCCCAGGGAGATTCATACATTTTTGCTTTTACATACATTATTCAAAATATTTACTGCCTTGTATTCCTTCATTTAAATATTCTTGTATATTGATTAACTTTAATGTATGTATTTATCTACTTGCTCCGGGGGTTCACCCCATTCCTTATTTACTCAGTCCTTGAATTTCATTTATACGTCCATTGTGTACATCTCTTTGTTTCTTTCCCTTATGAATTCTAATACTGAATTCCAATCTGTTCTTTGGGGCTTCATATAGTTTTGAGAGATTTTTTACTTCCAAAACTGACTTGTGTCCTCAAAGAGGTGTTGAAAGGAAGCTTTCTGGCATTGTGTATTTTCTAGAGCCATCTTTTATTGACACTGTGAGTGAAGAGTAGACAAGCTCTAACAGTTTTCTGGTATTTGGGCATCCCTCAATTTTATCCCCCACCCCACCCCAAATACCTACTTCATTTTGGGTTTTGAAAGTTTTGATTTATGTAGCTTCACCTTTCTGTATGTTCACCGTTGTGAAATATCTATTGATATAGAAGTACTTAAATATTCCTGGGATAGTAGACACAATCTGAATAGGATCATGATGATCTTTACCATTTCTTCACAGTTAGTTTGTTCATCTTTTTTTCCCTTCAAATTGAGAAACTGTGGGAGAGATTTTCAAATATCTCAACCATGCCATATATTAGTGTAAATGCAAAAAAGCCGCATGTTTTAGGATCTGCACTGAAAAAGAGAAAATGCTGTGTTCTTTTGCATAGTAGTGACTTGGGTAACAATTCTGAAGGCTTCAGATACAACATGAGACCTAAAAAATAATTAATATTGAGCCTGTGCATCCAGAGCATTTTGTTCATTCTTTCCTCTGCTTCAGCTTCTTGAGGAATGGGGAAAATGTTTGTAGTTGCGCCTATGCAACATCTTCTGATTTTTTGTTCACCTTCAGAGCTCCAAGAGAGTCAGAACAGAGAGTGAGAAGGCATCAGAATCAACAAATGCTGGCTTTGATGGGATGAATGAGGACGAACTCCTAGCAGCTGTCTTGGAAATGAGTAAGAAGGAGACATCGCTGTCATTAAGCCATGATGAAGACAAGCCTACTAATAGTCCAGATACTGGCTTTGGAGATGAGGAGTTGCAGGACTTGCCTGATAATACAGAACCTATGGATGTGGAGAAACCCAGAGTGTCTGCAGAGTCAGGTAAGAAGAGTAAGGAGATTCATTTTAATGCAAGTTTGAACTTCTCGGGATAGTGCTTGGGGAAAATAGGGAGAAAGGTGAGGGAATTTACGTTGTGCTGAATGTGTATAATCTTATGATTAAATTACTCAGAACAATTTGGATTGTCTTAATCTCCAAATATATGTATTTTCCTTCCCGAAACATCTCAGTGTTTAAATACATAGCAGTACCTATGTTTTTGATAAACTGTTTACCTGTAAAAAAAAATATGACTGTGCATCATAGATCTAGAAGAGAGCATTTTTAAACCAGGTAGTGAGCCAGGGGTTAGTTGCTCTGGCATCGGAACGAGGCACCCAACCTTATGTGATCAACGGTAGGAAGAGGTTGATCTAGCAATGTCTCCAATGGGGCTTTCCCAGGAGAGGAGTTGTGGCAACCCTGGGATTGGTTCCCCATCACCAATTACACAGCACTTCATTCAGATGCCAGAGCACCCAAACACACCAGGAGTGCTTTGCCAGGAAAGCAGCAGTGGCCCCATCGAAGAAAAGACCACAAAGTGGTGCCATTTTGGATTTGAGCAAGGAAACGATTTAGATCCCTTCATTGCCAATGAGAGGGCTGTCCCAGGACAAAAGATTCTGCTTTGCACGCAGATTATTTTGCTGGTGAAAACAAACCCTTAGATTAATGCCAACCCTAAAATATTTCATCCTGAGATACTTCCAGAATATCCAGTAATCCTGAGATTAGAGAAGAATGAAAAGGCTGTAACTGGTTGGCCATCAAGAGAACTTCCCCATCTCCCCTCATAAACCAAGTTATGATTTCAATGTGTTGTCTTTCTTTCTATAGGTTTTGCTGCTTTTCCAGAGTTAACTAAAGATTTTGATGAAAATAAGGAGAATAAAACTCCAGAAGGCAATCAGGGGGACATTGATTGGCTGCAGCAGTATGACCTGGAGCGAGAGAGAGAGGAACAGGAACTGCAGCAGGCTTTGGCTCAGAGCCTCCAAGAACAAGTAAGACTTCTCAAGCACAGAAATCAAGGCAGGGTTCCCTTCTGTGAGGCTAGGATGTAACATGTAGCAGAACCTCTGCTGCAGAGGAAAAGGTGTTGTTTCCCTTTTACCTCAACACTATACATCTGTGCTTAGAATTGATGCAGCCAATGGAGGCTTTGTAGTTCTGGCAAGTAACCGTGTGGATGGGTGAAGGCTCACTCAGCCATGAGCCTGCCAGCAAGAGAGAGCTCCCCTGTAGCTCTCAAGTCCTCACCCGCCACACACCTGCCCTTTAGAGCTATGGGAACGGCCCTTGGCTGCGGACAGGTGCACGGGCAGGGTGTGCAACTATTATGTGATGAAATCCGGTATCTCAGGGGACTAAGCTTGGTTCTCTACCCCAGCAGGAGGCGCGGGAACAAAAAGAAGATGATGACCTTAAACGAGCCACTGAATTAAGTCTACAAGGTGAGACAAAACCATAGAAAATAATTATGCCTTATATGCCTTATAGGTAGAACCATCATAACAAATGGTTCTACCTTTTTGAGTTTCTGTCATTTTCTGAGCACCACAACTATTTTTAAAAAGGCAATTTATGGAGAAATGCTTCTAAGTAGATAATTATAGTATATAAAAAGCCATTTGTCTTAGTGGGATGTGTGCTTATAACCAAAATTCTAGTTAATAAATGCAGTTTTGAAAGGCTCTTATAAATATTTGCTACTGAAGATTCTGCTGTTGAATCACTTATCAGTATTGTGCACTTATCAGAATGCTTTCCAAGAAGACCAGTGCTTGTTTATTCTTCTTCGTTTTCCTTGCCAGCTTGTTATTTTGACTAGATGTAATTTTACTTACTGTGTACTGATATATGTCTCCTCTATTCTGCCAAGTGTGGCTCTTCCTTAGAACATGACAAAAAAGGTCAACTATGTTCACGATTTTTGTTCCTGAGTTATAAATGTCATTTCCTAATTGGTTCCATCATAAAAACATGGAAAAGGTTTATTAAACTGCCAAAACTTTGGTTTTGTGGAACATCCTGCCGCAGTTCTTGCTATAGTTTTTCAATGAATATTTAATAGCATCTCAAATCAATTCAACATATTTATTTGTTATTATTTACCACATTTATATCCTGCCCTTCTCAATCCCGAAGGAGACTCAGGGCAGCCTTACAGTGCCAAATATTAATACATCGGTAAATAAACAAAAATGTTAAAAACATAGCATTAAAACATCAGTTAAAATCACACAATCCAACTCATATTCCAGGGCCGGTCCGAGTAGTCACTATATTAATTTGTAGTCTCATATTTCACTACTCCCATTACTGACTGAAAGTCTGATTCCAGAGCCAGGTTTTCAGTTTTTTTCCTGAAGATCAGGAGGGATGGGGCAGATCTAATTTTACTGGGGATGGAGTTCCATAGGTGGGGGGCACCACTAAGAAGGTCCTGTCTCTCGTCGCCACCAGAGTTGGGGTGGGACTGAGAGCAAGGCCTCTCCTGACGATTTTAACCTCCAAGGTGGGTTATACAGGGGAATACGTTCAGACAGATAAGCCGGCAATCACAAAAAAAGAAAGAAATTTCTGAAGTAAAACAACTACTTTCAAAGTAAGTACCATACAGTTAAACAGGAAATAACACTTTCAAAACAGGAACATTTTTTTCCAAATTTTGTTACATAATATTATCTAACTTCTTGAACGTGAAAATACGGCTTGTCTGATCTACAGAATTTACAGTTCTTAGTACAGAATTCTCAACTTTGACTTAGGGAAAACATTTTAGTCTCAAGTTTGGTGATTCACAGAGGAAGGTGTTTATGTATTGTTGTATTATGTCAAAGTGTAACATTTGAATTGCAGCAGCAAGTGGGTTTCAGTTTTGTGGTGACTGAAATTAGACTGCTACAGAACCTTAAATGTTTTACTGTTCCCTGCTTCTTGGAAGGAACCAAGTGTATATTTTGCTTTTCATGGAAACAATAAACTCCAGTAAAGCTTGGTTACTGCCATGAAGAAGTAAATTCTTGCCAGTACTCCTGTTGCATGCTGCCTTTTATTGGATTGGAGTATCTGTGCGATTCTGGGAAACAATGTCTTACACAAATTAGTATTTCTGAATCTGTGTTTCCTATGGCACTGTCTTGGTTATTGGTTCCTAGGGTTATTTCTCTTCCTGTTGAGAGGAGATTAAATACTTTGATAATTACTGCTACAAAACATAATTGCCTTTGCTTGCCTGAGCATGATTCAGGGTCTTATGCAGTGTCATTTTCATACTATTTAGAATTTAACAACTCTCTACTGGACAGTCTTGCCTCTGATGAAGACTCTGGGAATGAGGATTTTCTAGACATGGAGTACTCAGAAGCAGAGGCTGAGGAACTGAAACGAAATGCTGAGGTAATAATCTGGGACATTGGGGAGTTATCACTTGTTCTGTGCTTGCCATGGCAAAACATGTACAGATGCTTGAAGCGAACTTTCTTGGGTTGATAGTGCAGTCTGTGTCACTAACCATTTTTAAGAATTCTTGGGGTTTTGTTTTGTTAAGGGCTTTCAGTGACTGTCCACATGCAATGACTGATTCAGGTTAATGTAAAGACCATTGGGTTTTGCAGGTTCTGGGTCAGATTCTTGGCTTAGACACAACCCACAGAAAAACAGCAGATGGGACCCCTTCCTCATTTGCCACCCCAAGCAAATGTTTGTCTGGGAATATAAATCATGGGTTGGCATACATAGAGTATAATGGTTAAGGTCAATATAGAAGTCTTTTTAACATGGTAACCCTCTAGATATGTTGAATTGTAATTTCCATTATCTACAGACAGTATTCCAGTAGTCAAAGATTATGTATGCATAGATTTATGTCATCCTACATTTCTTTCCTTTTCTCCTTCATCCATCCCAGTTGAGGCTTGTGGTTCTGCCTCTTATGTGACCTAAAAGGTTAAAATGTTTTCTCAAAGAGAAGGGAAGTGTAATAAATGTCTTGGAAGAGGAAATTGTCATGAGTATATTTGAAATATGTCCCAATTATCTTACTTCATATGAAATAACAAGCACAGTAGTTAAGACACTGAATTATTCATTCAGACATATTCAGAAATATGTGAATGGTGAGAATCGGTTAACTTCACATGTTTGTAGAGGATTTTTCTCTCCCTCTCCTCTGAATTGTGACAGATAAGATGGTGTAAATATTATATTGTCAAAGGCTTTCACAGCCAGAATCACTGGAGTGTTGGGTCCACATGGCACACAGTTTTCTTGAAAGTGTTTGCTCTGCCATCCAAGGGAATTTCATCTGGCCTTCTGACAAGGCCAGCCCTTTAATATATACACCTGGATGCATTTGAGGGAATTATCCTAGAATCTTAGAGTTGGTGTGGTGGAGCTAGCAATAACTTTTGGGAAAGGAAGATTGTGTTGGAGAGAGTCAGGTATTCAAAATGACCCTGATTAAATGTATGAAATGTGTCCAGTGCGTTGCTGTTGGTGTTGTTGTTGTTGTTATATGCCTTCAAATTGCTTTTGATTTATGGTGACCCTGTCGGGTGTTTTCATGTCAAGCTTTGTTCAGAGAGGGCTGTGTTTGCCTTCTTCTCAAGCAGAGAGAGTATGACTTGCTCAAGGACATCCAGTAGGCAATTTAAACCCTGGTCTCCAGGCCACTAAACAAACACTCAAATTCTATATTGTGAAAGAGCTCTTTTGTGTTTATTTTGCATAATTTTGAAAGACTCCTGTTTATGCAAAAAAGAAACCATTTTTTTGGAAATGCTGTGTACTCGTCTTTGCTGCCTTCTTCAAACTCAAATGTTTCCAGCAGACAGAAGCCAAGATATCCCTCTTCCTCATCTGTGCCTCAAGAAAGTTTTCCAACCATTGAACAATTAGACTTGCACAAAGCTTCTGTTGACATGAAAATCTAATTTGCTGTGATGAGAAGAACAATTTCCAAGGATAAAATTGCACTAAATAGGATTTGCTTTCTTCCCTACTAGTTTGGCAGAGTGATTGAAAAATACCCTCCACTCGCCATAAACTATATCCATCCATCCTGTAAGCTAAAGATTAGCCATTTCAGTTGTTTTCAGGTCTGGAAAAAGTAATTAGATTCAAAGGAAGAATCCCAGTGTTTATACCATAATCTGGCCAAGCTTCACCATAAAATCCCTAACCAACCCTTTTGTCTGAACCAAGTGAAAATGTTATTTGGGAATAAAGTAAAATTAATAATGGATTTCTTTCCCAGACAGGAGAGCTTCCGAATTCGTATCGCCTCACTAGTGTTGTCAGCCATATTGGAGATACATCATCTTCAGGTAAATACCACTTCCATGACAGTTCTGTTCTGAATAAGAAAGCAATTATTTGGCAACTCTAATAAACTGCCTTGAAAAGGTTGGGCTTCTTAATGTAATCTATTAATTGCAATCTGTTTTCCTCTTTCACTTAACTACTTTTCAGGTCACTATATTAGTGATGTGTATGACATCCGCAAGCAGGCGTGGTTCACGTGCAATGACTTGGCGGTGTCCAGAATTCAGGAGGCCTCGGTGCAGAGTGACAGAGACCGCAGTGGCTACATCTTTTTTTATATGCACAAGTAGATAATTGTTTTTTATTTATTTATTTACTAAATTGTTAAAATGCCTTCCTGCTGGCTACCTCCTATACGGCCTAGAATTGCTTATGCATGTCCTAGGAGCATCAGTTTCCCAGCCTTAAATCAGAAAGATGTAAGATGGCTAGGCCATGCTTTGCTCTGTTAGTCCCTTGACTATAATTCCTTGCCTTGAACATCCCTTGTTTCTTTTAATATAAATACTAATATGAACCTCTCCTCTTCCCTAGGGACATATTTGATGATTTGCTAGAAGTGGAAAAGAATACACCTTGTGTGGCAGCCCCTGCAAAGAGCGTTTTTTCCTAAGCGCAAAGTATTCTGAACTTTTGTATTTGATGTGCAGGAGCCACAAACCTTCAAGAACTCAGGGCATCGTTGAGACAAATCCCTTGGAGTTGGAGGAATGGACCATTGACTTCATCCATGCAGTGAAATATCTTCTATCCAAAGTTCTCTTCCTTTTTCTCTAGTTACGATATTCAAGAAATTCTTTTGCCACCAATGGAAGTAAATCAAGATAGTGGATCAACAGCTCCTTCAGAAACTCATCAAAGGATAGCATGAAAGGAGACTGCAAGTTCACCCATTTACCTACTGTAGGAAAATGGAGAAGATCAATTTTGGAAAATTTTCTCTCTCACATATGAACAAAATAAGCAATAGTTTGTAATCTGGCATATGTTGTGTCCAAAATGTTCGCTGGAAAGTTGTTGTAACTAGGCAGCTAAGTGGTATTCCTTGAAATTGTGAACGGATTAATTTGGGCACTTGTCATTTACAACCCAGGATCGAAAGGATTGAAGAAACTTGGTGCTCTGGAACCTGTTGGATATACTATCTTTATAGTTCACTTTCTTCCTTGTTTGATAATAATATTATATATGTATATATCTACATATATATATTTTAACTTTAAAAAGTTTTTATTCTTTTTGACTGTTTTCCTTTTTTTATGTACTGCCATTTGCAGGACAATTTTATTTCTCTGTGAGTGTGTGTGGATGTTGACATGTATCTGTTTGCTGTGTCTCACTTTGGGCTGTTAGCAGGGAAGGCTGCTAACAGTGGAAGCTTTCAGGTCTAGCCTTTGCCAGGCCTTTTGTCGGGCATTTCCCAGGCAGCGCTAATTGGCAATAGAAGCACAAACAACAGCAGTTCTGTTCTGCTTCTCCACATATTTGCATCAGCCTCCAGGCCTGAGAAACCGCCCATGCTTGAAGGGAGAGATCTTTCCCAGATTTACCATATTGGACAAGAGTCATATGCTGACAGATGAAACCTTAAAATATATTTGGACTTGTTCTAGTTGCCTCTGGTAAGAGCAGTTCAATCAGATGAAATCCCCTTCCTCCCCACAAAGTTTCCAAATATTGTTATGTCTTGTTTGCAAAAACATTTCTGGGCAGAAATATTAAGTTTGATTCATTAGGATAAAAGGAAGCTTATCTTGGCTAAACAGGAAAATGTAATCTAGAATCACTTTGCAAACTTCCCTAATTTACTACAGAAAGTTAATTGCAATGTTTTTATTTTCTTTCTTTCTTTTTTATGTGGCAGTAAAATTGCTAATAACTTTGTTTCCTTCTGTCTCAATCCTGTCATTTCAAATGTTTAAGAGGAGCTGAGATGGTTGCTCAGTCATGCAATTCTAAGTGACACTTGCTACATGTAGCATTGAAGCCTAATATAACTTTATTTCAATGTTTAGCTATTGTGTTGAGCAAGGCAAAGTTCTCAGTCCTTAAACTATAAAATGCTGTATTCTGCTACTGTGATTTTGTACTGTTGATGACTGAAGTTACTTCACTCTTGAGGGTTTTTTTGTTTCTTTTTTTTTTTAGCAAGGAATAAATCAATTTTCTTTCTGTGAAAAAGAGAACATTATAATATATGATACTCCTGGTCTTCATCTCTCCCCTCCATTTACACACACAGATACACAAACCCATGCATGCACACATATTCAAAATCGGATTTGGAGATATTTCCTTCCCCATAGCTTCATACAGAAAATGAACTGGCATTGAGGGCTTCAGGAAAACCCTTTTTCTAGTGGAAGCCTCTCAGAGATCTTGATTATGCCTTTAAATGGAAGGGCCTGTATCCAGTTCATGGCAATTAGTAGTTAATATCACATCTGTAGCCCTATACTTATAAAATGATAAAGGCAAATTAGGTCATTTATTTAGTCAAAAAATAGTTATGGGTCTGTGTCTTATTAAGAAATTATGGAGTATCTGGATGTGATGTTAACCCAAACAAATATGTGTTCTGTAAGATTGATTTGCTTCATCCAGAGAATGCAACATGAGAAAAGCCTTTCTCCCTTTGGCAGCACGGCTTTTATTTAGCAAGAAGTGGTGACTGACTGTATCAAGCAGCAAGTCAGTTTGTTGTCATCCTTCTAAATAGGTTCCTTCTCCCTGAACCAAAATACACTGGCAAGGAAGGGACCCTGTAGAACATGTTATGGTCATTTTCATTTACATCCTGGTTTGCATTTCATACTCTGTCCAGTATCTGTAGAAAGCTGGCTTGTTGTGGAAGGATAATACAGTGCTACTAACTAAATCAATTTTGGATATTGTATAGTTCTTCAACATATTTTAATGCTAAAGCTGTGCAAATGTTTACCCTTCATAAAAAATTTTCAGGATTACTTTTGAAACCAAATATTGAAATATATAATTTTGAACAGATTCCCATCATACCATCACTTTGGAAATGATATGGAAACCTCTTGAGAGTTTGAGCTGCAGCTGCTGGCATCCAGAATTCTGTTTCCTGTTCATGGGAATTGGGTTTTGAAAGGGGTTTGTTTTTAGAACTGAGTGGCATGAAACAGTTTGGGACATCTTCTCAAGGATGCTATTTTTGGTTTCAAAGGAATACAGCAGCTAAACACGAGTCCATTATGAGCTTGTGCATATATTTATTTTGATTTTCCCTTGTTCCCTTATTTTTGCTTTTCCTGCATATTTACTTTTTGATAAAGAAAAATAGCCATATGTGTGTTTGCACTAAGTTAGTAAACCCCTCAGTTGACTCCTCCCCTGGCCAGTAAAACTAACCTTGTACATTCAAGGATTTTAAGAAGTAACTCGGGTAGGCCTCTAGAAAAAAACAAAAACCAACCAAAATACTGCCTAATGAAACTTGATTTTTTTTCCCCCCGACCATGAACCAGCACCTAATTGAACATCTAAGCTTGCAGATAATAGGGTTTTGGGCATCATTTTTGCTCAAAAGGCTTTAGTTTTGGGGGTTTTCCCTCCTCACATTTGGAAATTGAATCCTCAGCACTTCATAATACTCAGATTTGGAAAGACACTGGAGGAAAACAGAAAAGATTCTGCCGAGTTTGCCCACTTGGATCTTCTGTTTCCTTATAGAGAATCAGCAACCACTGCCACCTGCTTCGTGCAGGGTCTTTGAGATGTTAAATGGGTTTTTTGAGCTGCCAATTTGAGGGTGGGTTAGTTATATAGCATTAAAGACAACAACCTTCCACTTGAAATTCATGGAAGTTCTGTTGTCTGCAGTCGGAGTCTAAGATGTGGAGTTAAACATTCTGGACTGGGAGTTGACTACCTTTGAATGAAAAAAATTGAAGTGTGGGATACTTACTCTATGCTGTGCGCTTCTAGCATTAATCCACTTCATTACTCCTCTATGCTTTAATAAATTACAATGTGAAAACTTGGAGGGGGAAGAGTGTTTCTTAAATTCCTGGTCATGGCAGTTGTAGGGGAATGCCTTGGTTTTTATTTTGGAAATCACTTTGTGTCCCTTGACACTTAATATGAAGCAGCACTTTTCTGTGTTTTAGCAGACTTGTACCTATGTACTCTTTACAATTCTGCCTATTTTCTTCCTCTTTAAATGATGTGTAGATCAACCTCAGAGAAATTAAAACACTTTATTAATACTGAATTTCTGGTTTTTCTTTCTAGAAACCTGCAAACGTCTTACAGTTTAACTCTGCTTTTCTAACAGCACGGTTTTTGTCACTCTTCTCTATTCATTTATGTATGTATTTATTTATTGTGTCAGAAGCTAATTGAGAATACAGGTATAATGAATAGAAAACCCACAACCAAAGTTAAAAACTTGGCATTCTACTAAATTTCCTTTGACCAAAAGCTGACCACTTTGAGTGCCCCTGGTGTTGCTGTAAGAAGATCCTCCATTGTGCATGTGGAAGGGCACAGACTGCATTGCAGTAGATGGCCTCTGGTTCGCTTTTCCTCCCACTTGCATGTTGTGGACTCCACTTTGTGGCCCCATTTCATAAGGTTAGCTCCGCATCTCGTGGTGCCAGAGCACAGGCTGCTCAGTGCCTTCTCTTCTCTGTAATAATGGCTTTAAAAAGTAATATTACTTGTTTTCTACATTTTAGAAATGAATTCTATATTTTGAATGATATTTCAAGGCTTAGTGCTTTCTGTAATTCTTTTAACATGTATGGACTTACTGGTAATCATTTCAAGAATAGAAACATTTCTGGAGGCACAGTCTAAAACATATTTACTGTAAAAAGGTAAAGGTAAAGGTAGTCCCCTGACATTAAGTCCAGTCATGTCTGACTCTGGGGTGTGGTGCTCATCTCCATTTCTAAGCCGAAGAGCCAGCGTTGTCTGTAGACACCTCCAAGGTCATGTGGCCAGCATGACTGCATGGAGCGCCGTTACCTTCCTGCCGGAGCGGTACCTATTTACTGTACATACATTTATATTATATTATATATTTACTGTACATACATTATATTAGTTTATAGATTTAACATCACATTCCCCAGCCATACTTCTGGTTGGCAAATTAGTTTTCCCTCCAGTTGGAATGAACATCAGAAAGCAAAAAACAAACAAACAAAAAACAGCCAGGAGGTGTCTGTATTCCCCCTTGTCCATCCCCATAGGTTTTATAAGGAAAATTCAGTTTCCCCAATCAGCTGTTGTTAGTAGTCAACCAACTACTTCTTACAGTTGTAAAAGCTTGAGAGACGGCAATAGTAGCTGCTTATTGTATTGTGTACCCAATTACTTCACAATTGCATATAAAAACACATCCAAGCTTCCTACATTCTAAATTGAATTGAGACTGAGCCCTAGTCTTATTTTTCAGGATGATTATAATTAAATACATTCCTTTTACATTGGTGTAGGGCAGGCATGGGCCAAGTTTGGCCCTCCAGGTGTTTTGGACTTCAACTCCCACAATTCCTGGCAGCCTCAGGCCCCTTCCTTTCCCCCCTCAACCGCTTAAGCTGAGGCTGTCAGGAATTGTGGGAGTTGAAGTCCAAAACACCTGGAGGGCCAAAGTTTGCCCATGCTCGGTGTAGGAGGTTGTCATGGAAAGAAGCAATTTTATACCTTAACATTATTTTATCAAAGTCTAGCAGCAGTTAAGAAACACATCAGTTCCATTTTAGCTTGGTGAAGGAGCTGTCCCATGGCCTTGAAATCTGGTTGGCAAACATACGTACATAATACAGGACAGTGGAGTCACATTCAGCCATGTAAGCCTTTCTTGTCAATGTTTCAAAAAGTAGCTTTTGCATGGCAAAATGCATTTAGAGTTCGGAAGAGAAATGGCATAATATCCTAAGTGACAACTTTGTATTGGGTGACAAGCATTGTCATAGGTAGGAGGAGAAATGAAATTGAGAAGGGAAACAAGACCAATACAATACTGGGGAAATATTTAGTCCTCCAGATGTTTATGAACTTCCAAGTAAGTCAGTCAACATAGCCAATGCTAAGGATTTATTGCAAATTATAGCTCAAAACATGGAAGACTAAAGGTTCCCTATCCCAGGCTGAAGGCTACTTTCTTCCACCTGCTCTGAGTGCTTGGAATAAAATCATCTGTAGAGGGGTTATAAAATAACTTGCACCTGCAAAAATCCCGGTGGGGGCATTCGCTTGATAATCTGTTGATGCTCCAGTTGTCAAGCACTAATTAATTAAATTAAAAATATGCATCTACCTAACAGAAGTTTAAATTTAGAAAAGTCCTTTTTCTTTCTTGAGGGACTGCTGCTTCCATACAGCTAGAGCAGCATATTCATGTCGAGACATGCCAAAGACAGCAAGGAAGTCATCTTCTGACAAATAGTCCTATGGATAGAAGAAAGGTAAGAATGAGAGATGGGGAAATCTACAATTGTAAGTGGGTTCAGCTGCAGTTAATATGGTAACTCCCCCCTCCCATAAATACCTGGAGAAAAGAGACGGCCTTAAGAAATCTGTAATGGAATACACTGCAAACCTATTTTCTGAAACTAAACAGTATGAGTTTAAATGTTTAAAACATGCACTCTTCAATTTCTTGACAATCGCAAAACAATTTGTGGACTCAACGTGGCTGAAGAGAGGGACTGAATATATAGATCTGTAGACATAGCATCTTTAAACAACTTCATCTAGCCTTTGAAAGATCCTTCTGTATATTGGTAGACTTCGTACATTCTTGAAGACTAGATGTTTCCATCACTGATTCGGAAAGTACTTGCAATTGGCTGGATTTTGTGGCATGGATTGTGCAGATTCCTGCACACAGCCTCTATCCTAGAAATTGTGCTGATAAATCCAGTGCAAACTACAGGATTGGAGGCTTGACATGTGCTGTAAATTGCCGGACTTCCACAACCACAGTTTGACATTTGCAGATCTGCGAGTTGACCATAGAGCCATTCTGGAGGAACCAGAGATTCCTGGAAAGAACACCTCTTCAGGAATCTAGATCTGCCAATGCAATTCTTGATCAACTATGGGCAGAGGTTGAGCATGGAGTCATAGTGGAGGACCTAGAGATTCTTATAAATGTTTTCTATCAGATTAAAAAAGACCTAATTTTATTTACTATTTTTCACTTTTGTAGGGGTTCAGTGCTCCTGGCCCCAGGAAATGTGGAGGGCTGACTGTAGCTGATCAGTTTAAATCAATGGTTCCCAATCTTGGTCTTCCAGGTGTTTTGGACTTCAACTCACAGAAAGCTCAGCTGCCTTGCCCAATGATCCGGGATTCTGGGAGTTGAAGTCCAAAACACTTGGAAGATCAGAGTTTAGGAAACACTGGTTTAGATAGTCAGGGACATTTCACACAGGAGCAGTGGATATTCTTGACATCCAACAATAAGATGCAGTTGGGTTTCAATTATTGAATAATGATGAGGAAACATAATGAAGTAGATTCTTGTATTAGCAATAATCACTTCTGGGAGAACTAGAACAGTGGTTCTCAACCTGTGAGTCCCCAGATGTTTTGGCCTTCAATTCCCAGAAATCCTAACAGCTGGTAAACTGGTTGGGAAATCTGGGAGTTGTAGGCCAAAACACCTGGGGACCCACAGGCTGAGAACCACTGAACTAGAAGCAAAAGGTTTCACTTGTGCATAATTTTCCATATGTCTTGGAAATGTTCTTTCCCCCTTAACATGTCTAAAAACATTTTTGCACTGATTAGACAAAAGATTTCTAAGTTTGCTTGCTTTCATCTTATTGACTTGCCAAAGGCCATTTGCTTATTGAGCAACGATCTTATGGGTTTTTTTCTCCTGTATGTGCATATTACGTGCTGCTCTTACAAGAAGGTAAATCCCTATAAACAAGAACTCTGAATGCCGTCCTGTAATCTCTCACCTCCTTCCTGGCGGGATTTACATCTTTGGGGAGCTCCTCAGCCGACATGTTCACTAGTTTCTCCAAAGGGTATGTCGACAAGGACACACTGCCAAAGGCAGTGTTGGCAGTGAAAACGTCTTTTCCTCCCAGGATTTCCTGAATGAGAAAAGGAAAAGGAAAACCTTCAAAACTTCTGAGTCTTGGACTGCATTGGGGTGGTTTAAATTGAAGTGTGAATGCTTATATTGTATGTTGTTGGCTGAAGTATTCTAAATCTGCAAACTTTAAGAGGTTGCATATTTTAGGGAGCAGCATGACAAGTAGGTGATAAATGACCAGTGGAAGCACCCTGGATTTGGTGTCATTTTGTCAGAGTAATCTGAATGTACCAGGGGATAATGGTTTGAGTTAGAATCATAGAGTTGGAAGCGATCTCGTGGGCCATCCAGGGGAGCAACCTTTACAACAGTGGTTCTCAACCTGTGGGTCCCCATGTATTTTGGCCTACAATTCCCAGAAATCCCAGCCAGTCTACCAGCTGTTAGGATTTCTGGGAGTTGAAAGCCAAAACATCTGGGGACCACAGGTTGAGAACCCTGCTTTTCCCTGCTTACCATTCCCAACAGGACATGTTCCTCGCTGCTCTGGTTCATCTCTAGAGCTGCTGTCATCTTTGCCATGACTTACCTTTATCCTCTCTTCCCTGCTCAGCCCTCCTTCCTATGATACAGTATTCAATTTGCCCTTTCAATTTTATGCTCTCCCAACCAGTCACTGCTGTGTTACCCCCGCCCAAATGGCAATTTCACTCTTAAAACAACAACAAAGGAGGGGGAGTCATTGTGCAAAATTATATCTAAAGAAAAATATTCCTGCTCCAGAGGTTTCAAGGATGTATGCTTGGTAGGGCAAAGGATCAGCATGTGGAAGTTGCCCACCCATGAACTAAACCCTACTGTTAAAAGGTTTTCAGCTGCTTGTGTTAAAACTTAGCCAGCCACCCAAAATACATATCTATGTATTTAGCTGCTTTAGTCAGCTATACAAAAATGCTAAAGCACACATTCTTTCTCCTTGCTCCCTACCCTATATTTGACTCTTCAGTAAAGCAATACTTACAGAAGTGAGCTGCTCAAGACTGTTATCATCAGCCAGTTCAGCCTTCAGATCTTCATAGCTTTTCTTGTCCTATATGAAGATAACAAAAGAACAGGAGCATCGCACCACCCAAACTGATAACGAAATTTGATTTTTCAAAGTATTCAAAACGTATTGAATACTGGAGAAAGAAAAGATTCCATGAAGCCTTTAGCCAAATTACAAACAGGTTTTCCTAAATGTAATGGCTCTAACTTAAGGCATGGACAGGATCATACGTCTCACTTAAATATTGTTGGAGTCTAAACACTAACAATTAAATTATTCTGCCACCAATTACTGCTTGTATTTAGTGCTGGTGCTTATATATCACCGGTGGTTTGCAAGGCAGGGGTCTAATATGTTTTTGCTTTATTTGTTGTGTGTTTTTCTGTAAAATGAAAAAAAAA